TGTTGCATCTTCATTAGAAGGTCAATTTCTTTATTATTAATATGATTATCATCATTTTTAGTAATACTGAGAGTAGTATTATTATTTCAATGTTTTAGTTATAGTTGGTTTCCCCCACTATGCAGTTCATTCTTTGTTTTCTTTTATATGCTATATTTCATTTTTATCAATATTTGTTTCAGATTGCATCAATGGGTATCTAAATTGTGTTGAATACGAGAGGATCCCTTCAAAAATTCTTACCTACCAAGCATCTGATGATCCTGTCTACAGTGGGTATAGAGCAGCAGTAGAATCGACAAGCCAGGAGGAGGCTCTGGTATGTGCCTGCATTGTCTCCGCATCCCCAAACATTTTTTTCTTCATATCCTAAACTGCTGCTATTATTATTATTATTATTATTATTATTATTATTATTATTATTATTATTATTATTATTATTATTATTATTATTATTATTATTATTATTATTATTATTATTATTATCCAGATGGGATTTGCGATATGGGAGCCACCCCATGGTCCTTACAAAATGTTTAAATACCCATGGAGAAACTATGTCAAGCTCAGTGGGGCATTAAGGCACTGTGCCTTCATGGTCATGGCACTGCATGGGTGTATACTTTCGGAGATACAGGTGCCCATTCTACTCTGCTTACATTTTTTAGCCAGAGTGTGCACTATGGAATTGCACTTCCTTCGTTGCAAAAAGATGTGCTCAATTTGGCAGGCACAGTATTTAATAAGTTGAAAATTGTAAGGTTGAGATTCATGCACACGAGAGACAAGCCATTGTGAACTCCATAACACTTTTAACATATGAAAACATGCCCATCTTTTTGGGACGGACAGAAAGGAAAACATGCCCATTATTTTCTAAAAGATATAAACATATATATAATTCATACAAAAACTTTTGAGACAGTCTGCAACTGTAAGTAACAGAAGTTTAAGTCCTGTACCAATAAGAGAAGGAAAATCAAATTTGAACTAGCTAGCAAACATCTACTTCTCTGGTTTGATGGTATCTTTTTTTTTTTCAAAATGCAAATCAAACTAGAAGTGATAAAATATCATATCCAATTGGAAATCCAATAAATCTGCAGATACTGAGTTTGCAGATTGGGATACCTGGAACACAATGACAACAACAACCCAATAAAATCCCATGATTGGGGGTACCTGGAATACATTGCATTATTAAGAATGTACTCCGTAATAGATACAAAATAAATCCGCTGATACTGAGATAGTTTGCCGGATTGCAATTTGCAACGCATGGAATACAATGCATTGTTATGAATATAAAGAGATAAAAAAAATCTGCAAATACTATCTCAAGCAACACAAAGGGGTTAATGCATTTGTTAAATGACACATACATGCAGGCTCCTGCAGAAAGAAGACAAGTATTCCGCAGTGAGCTCCAAAGGGTAGGTGTGGCAGGTGCTGCAGTGCTGAGAGGTCTTGGGGAGAAGGTGAAAAAGATGGAGAAATTGGGCGGTGTAGACATACTGGGCGAAGTTCATGAAGCAGCAGAAGAGTTGCAAAACAAGGTTGATAAGAAATCCTACCTTCTTGTCAACGCCGATAGCTGGGAAATCGGCGCGAGGCAACACGCCAGAGTCAATGTCCCCCAAGAATTTTTCACCTTGGATGATGCTGACACCGTCACCAATGGACATTATGTCAAGTCCCTCAGCGAAGCAGGACTTGATCTAACTTCCATTCAAATGCCAATGAGTTGGGATGATGGGAAATACTTGATGAATTCATGCCACAAGCCAGTGGTAGGAATCACATCTGAGAATCATGAACTGAAGTATTCAAACACGGTAGCCCACAAAGAAGAAGAATCTAGGACGTACGAGAACGCGAGTGCCTTATCACTGGCAACGTTCACCTCACTACTCATTGAATTTGTCGCAAGACTCCAAAACCTCGTCGATGCTTTCGAAGAGCTAAGCAAAAAGGCCAAGTTCAAGGAACCTGTTGAATTGACTTGTAACAAAGATGAGAATATTGGGTTTTTGTCTAGGGTGACACAGTATTTGATGTTGTGGAAAAGAGATGAAGGCTTGCCAGTTGGAGAGAATTTAGTTTGATTGGGGAAGCCAAGGAAGATCCCACAGTGCCAAGTTGTAAAATGATTGTCTAATTATAAATTGTGTAGTAGTTATTATAATAAAATGCACCACTTTTCCTTGCTAAGGGCGTAAGCAGTGCGATAGCTCTTAACTTCCAACATTTTCCAACCCTTTCCAGTTTTTTAACTTCTTCGAGTTTTTCCAACTTTTTCTAGTTTTTCTAACTTTTTCTTGTTTCTTCCAACATTTAACTCTGAAGAAATGTAGAGTTAAATACTTTAAGGTTCTGTTCTTTTCAGTTAAAAGAACAAAGTTGGATGTTGGAAGAAATTAGTAGTTGGAATGAATTGGAAGGAATTGAAAGAAACTCTAAGAAGTTGGAAAAAAACTGAAACGCGTTAGAAAAACTAAAAAGAATTGGGAGAAACAGGAAAAGTTGGAAAGAACTAGAAGTAGTTGGAAGAAAATTGAAAGGAATTGAAAGAAAATGTAAGGAGTTGGAAACGGGTGGCCCATATTTTTAAATTTGTCAATAATTTTAAAGCAAAAGTATTCTAAAAATATAAAATAAGGCACAAAATGTAAATTTTGGACCGTGCCAATTTTATTACTTTGATTGGGAAGCTAGGAAGATGGCACGGTGCCAAATTGTAAAATGATTATCTGATTTTAAAGGGTGTAGTCGTTATAATAAAATGCACCACTTTTCCTTGATTATGTGTGATATCACTAGTCTAGTGTATCTTATTTTTCTACAAACACTTTGGAGCATGCAGATTATATATGCACACTTAATAGTTAGAGTTTGTTTTTTAGAATTGAAAAAAAGAGCTGAATGTTGGAAGAAGCTAGAAGAAACTAGAAAAAAACTTCAAAAAATTATTTAAGTGTATTTTACATAGTACTCTTATTATAATTATTGTTGTTGTTGTTATTATTATTATTATTAGTGTCATGTAAAATTAAAAAAATCCTAATAAAATTGTACTCCATTTTTATATAAAAAATAGGAGATTGATTTCGTGTTTAATTGGTTCTGTTTTAACTGCTTTCTGATTAAACGAGTTTCAAATCTAATTTGGATTTGAATACAATCGATTCAGTTACTATTCTTTCAGATCATATATGTTTTTCAATTATAGATTGAGTCTTAAGTTTTCAATAAATTTTAGATTCAATTTTAAATACTGAGAGTATCTTCTTTAGAGATTGAATCTTTAACTCTTCCAATTTCTTTTGCTTTTTTTCAATTCTTTCTAGTTTTTTCATTTATTTCTAGTTTTTACATTTGCTTTTCAGTTTATTCTAATTTCATCTAGTCTTTCCAGTATTCCTATTTTCTTTAATTATTTTATATCCATCAAACAATAACTCTAGGAATGATATATTTTTCTTTTATTATTATGATTATTATTATTATTATTATTATTATTATTATTATTATTATTATTATTATGTTCATACTTATAGTTTTTAGATTATTTCAATTTTTATTTTTCTCGTATCACTATTTTTATGATTCATACTCATTATTATTTTTTCTTCTATTTTTAAAATAAATAATATGGAGTATAATTAATTGGGAAAATGGGTTTTTATTAATTTACATTACACAAAATTATGTTTTAAAAATTATGAATATTTTATTAGTATAAATTGACCTGGAGAAGATATCATATTTTAAATTAAAAGACAATAATTATATTATTTACTCTGTCACTAATTAAATGTTATGTACTCCATCTGTTCCATTTTAAATTGTCTGTTTTCCTTTTTTTTCTCCATCTCAAAAAAGTTGCTTGTTACTTGTTATCGTAAACTTTTAAGAGTAAAATACATAAACTACCCTTAAAATAAGTCATCCCTCTTAAAAAGTAATAGCAATTTCGAAAAATCAACTCTATTTTTTCTTTTTCTTAAATATACCCAAATGTCAAAACAGACAATTTAAAACAAGACGGAGAGAGTACATTATTTATGTGATCAAATTTTATTCATAATCTTACCTTATTATGAATATAATAATAATAGTATTAGTAATAGTAAAAGTAACAACAGCAATAAGATATAATAAGAAGAGTAAATTTCATAGTTGGTCATTTATAACAGTGGAGTTTCCCTATTTAGTCCTCTATTATAAAATATTACCACAGTGGTCCTTCTTTTATGTGTATCTTTCCACAAATAGTCATTTTTTATCTTCTATCATGTTGGTGTTAATTTAAGGGCTAAAAGTGTAATTTCACAATGATAATATATCTTTTTTGTCATACACAATTCCAAAGGCTGTTCCGTTTGCGTCGTTTGTGAATTACAGTCGCTTTCTACTACAACCATAGTCTACAAATGTGGTCTTTTGTCGGAATCCTAACCCACAATCATAGTCATTATTTTTGTGTTATCTGCTTAACCAATATCAGAACATGTCACTAGACATAATGTTAATGTCAAATTATACTTTTAGCCTTTAAATTAACACCAACATGACAGAAGATCAAAGGGAGAAAGACCAAACTAAGACTAAAACATTGAAAATGTACCAAAATAGGACTTCCATGTTTTTATTCCCGAAATAGGACTTACATTACCAAATATGGTCATATACATTACCAAAAAAGTATAGTAATTTGCACATGTACACTGCCATATTACCACAATGCAAAGTCACATTACCATAGTGCAAAGTCCTATTCCAGGAAAAGAAACATGAAAGTCCTATTTTGGTACTTTTCTCTATGTTTTAGTCCTATTTAGGATGATATCTAAAGATAAAAAAAGAACCATTTGTGGAAAGACACTCTTAAAAAAAGGACTACGAGGGTAATATTTGATAATAGAAGACTAAATATGGAAACACCCCGGTTATAAAGGACCAACTATAGAATTTACTTTAATAAGAATAATTTGTAAAATACATATGAATAATGTTAAAGTTTTTTTCTCGTATTTTCCAAATGTTTTCAAATTCTTTAATTTTTTGGTAGTTTCTTCTTGATTTCAATTTGGCGTTTCTTCCATTTTCCGTTCCGAGTCTGTTCTTTGAAATTTTGAAGTCCAAAGGCCGCGAAAGAAAAGGTCCGGGCATAACTCCACAGTTCCATACTCGGGTCGGGAGAGAGAGAGAGACAATGGACGATTCAGGTGCATTTCTCTGTGAGATATCTTTGCTCAAAGACATGCTTGATAAGGTATCTCTGTTTATACTTCACAGACAACCCTCAGTTCAATGAATTGTAAAATCGCCGATGATTGATTCTAGGGTTTTGCTGTATTTGTTTTGTACCAGGTGAACGAGGAAATCGAGGCGAACATCCAAATCACCAGGGAGATCGAATCGGAAATTGTCAAGTGCGACGAATCCGAGGTCTCCCTGCTTGCTCGAGAATCGGAGCTGATGAAAACAGCGTATATGCAACAGTTCGAAATCAACGGCTTGAAGTCTGTCACTGGTATTTCTATGAAACATTGAAAAATATGGTTTTGATTCATTCATCTGAAATCAGTAACTTGGAAATAGATCTCACTAAAATTGTTAATAATGGTTTCTACTTCCGTGACATCGTTCTTCTTCCATAATTGACAATCAAGTTAATTTCAGATGTATCATACACGGGAACCAACTAGTGTTATTATATCATGAATGTGGTATTTTGTCTTTTTGGCATCTTTTAACAGGTAAACAGTTCTATCTTGAACAAAAAGTTCAACTTGCTGCATTTATCTTTACAATATGTGTTCGGAGCATTTGGATAACCTTTTAAATTTGTTGTAAGAGGAGATGGTTATTTATGCTATACTGCTCTCAACTCTTCTATCTTCTTTTGCAGCTAATTCAACAGCCTCCCATAAGTTATTGGAGGAAGAGTTAGATTCTCTAAGAGGGAAGCGGGATGAGATACTTACTCGGATGAACGTTCAACGGTAGTGATCCTAACCAAGCATTCCAACACTGCGTTGATAAAAAGCGTAACTCAAAACACAGTTTAGATATATGAAATATCATGTTGAATGTCTGCGTGCCAATGGAAAAAAAAGCTAACGACTTTTGTGACCATTATTAACATTCCTTCTTAAGTATTTGCATTGCATCAAAGGTTATATTTTCTGTTACCGATTATATAGATTATTTTCTTTTATCAGAATATTGTAACTAATTTGAATTTCCAATTTGGCTTGCTAGAGTCATCGCTATCTGAAGGCGTTAGTCAAACTAAACCAAGCCAAACCTATCATCGAAAGGTGTAAATGAAATATAGTGTATTCTCACTCTCAATCCATGAATTTTCTGATTTCAAATTATTTTTCGCATTCTCCCACTCTCTTGAGATACAAATCAAGAATAAAATGCATTGTTTGGTATAGATTCCTGATTATGTTCCTTGTCACACCTAACCGGGTGGATTGACTTCCTCTCAGTAATACGGAGTATATATGAAGGTTTTGCTTAATTTAGACTATCTAAACGTTTAAAGTTATAAAAAGAGATGCGGTTTGTTTTGAAATCTTGAATATGCCTTTCAGGTCTTTCACATCAGATAATGTTTCCAAAACATGAGTAGGCACATAGTAAATAATTGTTCTTGTGCAGAGAAGTATTCCAGAGGTCATGCATGGATTTCCAAAAGAATATTGGGAAGCAAGATAACGACGAAATTGGGGCGTTGCTCCTTGAGAAAGTGTGTCTAGAAAGCGAAGTTGGCTCCTTGAACAACAGAAATGCTGTTTTACAAAACTCAATGGCTGCATTTGTTGAAGAGATTCTTGAAGATCTCCAGAGTTCTATACATGGTGCCTTGCTGTTATGCTAGACTTTTATTACTTTTCCTTTTCTTTTGCCAATTTTAAAGTGTGATGTATTGTGAAGTGTAGCTCTAGAAATTGACATAAGAATTCGAGATATCGAAAGAGAGAAATTGACGAAGGAAGTTGACGAACTCAAGAAGACATTGCTTTCAACTATGTCAGCACGATAAAATTTGGTAAGTTTTTTGTACTCTTCTCATTTCAATACCATTTTTCCGATAGAAGAAGCTCGAGTGTTCTCTATGAATATTCTCTTTTTCTTTTTCCTGTCCGCCTATTTTACTTGCATGCCACGACTCCAATAGGGTGGCTTGTTTTGCTCATCCAAGGAAAGTCCATTGATCTTTGATTTGAATGAGTATTACTCTCAATGTTAACGTATATTACCTTGACCTATAATCGAATGCGGTGTAACAATGTTAGCGTATCTCTCAACGTTAATGTATCTTTGATTTGAATGAGTATTACTCTCAACGTTAACGTATTAGCTCAACCTTGTGATGATGTCCCTATGTTAATTTCCTCCATCATAATCGGATGCAAAGTCTAATCGAATGTGGTGTAAAAAGCAAATACTCCGTATTAAGGTAAACCGTGTGGTGAAAAGACCATTTTTCATTGAGATAACTGCCACATATGTTGTAAATTTGAATTGTGTTGTTTTTTGAGCTATTCATTGGTTGCCACATAAGGGGCCAAAACTGAGTTTGCTAAATACCATACCCCATATGTGTGAGCCAATACTTATTTCATATCTCAAACATATGTTAAATGTCACTTCAAAAGTTCAAATCAAAGAATAAGTTGGTGCATTAATGAAATGATTACTAAATGGTCTCCATCCCAATTTTGATATAGCAATATTATAACCTCAATTATTGCTCACAGAACATCATCTATCTATTTCTGCAGATTACAGGGCAAGAAGAGAAGGGGTAAATGGGAATTTCACCAGAAAAATCAACATCTACTTTTGTACAGGTCTAATGTTGCTTAGATCTTGAGCTAGGACTCCAATGGAGTTGGTGATATAACATGAAATGAACACTGATTTCTCTCTCTTTCGCGATGTTTGGTCCGAGGAATTAAGAAGGAAAAGAAAAAAAGTTTCTCCCTTTTTCCTCATCAAACTGGAAGGAATTTTATTTTCCCCCTTTTAGTCTATTTTTTACTCTTATTTTCATTTTTTTCTCTCTAACTAAAGAAGAAAAATTATTTTTCGTAACATTCACTTTTGTTTTCTCTTTCAGATTTATTGAACCAAGCACAGAGCGCATCTCTAGAGCGTATCACTAAACTGCGTGGTCAGTTTTGGGGAGCTCAATGATGGGGTGCATCTTTTTTCTTAAAGGCCTATCTCTAGAGTAAAAAATGAGATACCCCTCATTTTGGTCTTTGTAGGTATGCTCACGAGTCAATTTAGTCTTTGTATATTGAGTGGAGTAAAATTAGTCCCTTTAATTAGAAAAAATGAATTAAATTTGGTCTTTCAGCAATTGTTTTTAAACGTGTTATCATAATATTGAGTTAGCATATTATTTAATGCAAGAGAAATGACCCCGTGTAACTTTCCACTTTGGGCCATCCAAAAATTAATTTCTCACTTTCCTTTTTTGGTTAGTTTTTTGTGGCTCATCATTTCTCTCTCCTATATATCACTTTTAATCACATGATTTTATTTTTCTTAAATTTTGTGTAAAGTTAAAATGTGAATATTAATTTGAGAGGAAGGGAGTAGTGTGCTTCAATCATGCACTTTAAGTGGAAGTCATGAACTTTCCCACATGAGTATTATTTTTTGTTTGAAAAGAACTTGGGTGGTGGCCAACCAGCTGGCTAAGCAAAGCAACACAAATACATGATGGGGGTCCACCTTAGAATCAAACATAGAACTAGATGTACTACTTAACAAATGAACAACTTGATTCGTTGATCTTTTCGAAAAAATATCATGATATAAATCTTTGTCTGGTTAAGTAAATGCATGCATGTATCTATCGATTCAAGAAAATTAGATATCGAAGAACATAAACGTTACCTAACAAATGATAAATTTAGTTCGCTAATCTTCTATTCCCTCTGTCCCGTTTTAAATTTCTTATTTTGACTTTTGGGCATATTTAAGGAAAAGAAAAAATAGAATTGATTTTTTGAAATTGTCATTACTTTTTAGGAGGAGTGACGATGAATGAGAAGATAAGGTGGAGAAGAGTGACTTATTTTAGATGTAGTTTAGGTATTTTACTCTTAAAAGTTTACGATGACAAATAACAGGTAATTTATTTTGGGACAGAGAAAAATGGTAAACAAGCAATTTAAAATGGGACAGAGGGAGTAACAATATAGATCATTAAAAAAAACTCTATTAAATTAAATGAATACATTTATGATTTATACCTAAAATAACATTGATTAATTTATTTATTTTAGAATGTTAATACATATCGTTAGAGATGGTCAAGTTTCAGGAAAGTTCGGATTTATCCATCTCGTGTCTTGTCCCATTTTTTCAATGGTTTTATACCTCTTTGTCCTTTAATATTTAGAACCGGGACAAAATGGAACGAGTTCGGATTGTCCTGCTTTGTCATTGTCCAAAGTTAGATGTAAAAATATAAAATACTAAGGGAAGACAATCTACTTTGACATGCAAAGTAAGAATTAAATAATTATTTAGAATATCTTAGAAAAGCCAAAAACAATAACGCATGGCAACATGAAAAATTTGCAATAATATGCATTAAAAGTCAAAACTATAAGCTATCGGAAAAACTATGAGCCACAAATTGAGGTGGATATGGGTTGGAACGGTCTAGGTCTTTAGGTGTTTCGGTCATAGTCCAATTTTATTAGAATATTTAGTTTTGGATATTTATTTTTATCTATCTTGGAAAAAACAAAAATTATGATACTTTTTTATATTATATCATTATGTAAATAAATAAATACGGAGTAAATATTTACATACATACGAGATAATAAGATGGAATGAGAAAATATTTATGTCACAATCCCATCCCATTTTAAAAAGATTGGGAATGGGTTCAAGATAAAATTTTGTTATTCCAAATAAATTGATACATTATAAGGACATGACCGATATATTTTGGGTTAGGACAACGGGATATGAATTCTTGCCCCTGCATATCTTAACATTAAGTTATTTATTTTAGAAAGTCATGCTTAGGTGGACATGCATATGTTCCAAATAATACTTTGCTTTAAAAACAAATTCTTCGGATGTATTCCCTCCGTCCACAAATAAACTTCATATTTACTATTCACAGGGTCAAATTTTATTCACTTTGTTGGTCTATTTTCGTCACCCATTTGATAAAATAATATAGTCACGTCACTTCTAGTTTTGTAGATCTTTTGATATAGTTTTTTAATATGTAATTTTTATTTTTAAGTTTTATATAAAATGATTTGAAAATAACTTCAGTCAAACATCGTAACGCATAACGGAAAGTTTATTTGTGGACGGAGGGAGTACATAGATAAAATATTACAGTCATGTCAATTTTTATTATATAGAATTTTAGATTTATTTTTTAAATATACAAATTTTATTTCTAAATTTCACACCAATTTTTATAAAAAAAATTGAAAATAATTTCAATCAAATACCGTAAACTGAAATGAACAAAATTAAATTTAGATGGAGCGAGTACATATCCCAACATTAATTAATTTATTTATTTAAGAAAATCATGCTTATTAGGTGTACATTGGTTGCAAAATACAGTAATAATTTGCTTTGAAAACAAATTCTCCATTTGTTTGTTGGTTGTGGACTTGTGGGTGGGGTTGCTTCATGTGAGGGAGTGATGGAGAAAACCATAGACTATTTATGGCTGTTCAAATCAGAGGACGCGGGTTGGGAGAATTTAATGAACAAAGGTTGTCCTTCTACCTGCAGACATTGACCATATATGTCTTGTGAACTTCACGTGCTCTTTAATCAATTTTAGAAAAAGACTTAAGTAAATAAATTTTTAAAAAAGACCTAAGTAAATCCCGGGTTGCATCCCACATTTGACCGCAATGCCTTCATAAATATGCCTTCATAAATATTACAGATAGGGCTGTTCATGTTTAGGTCTGAATCGAAAAAACTGACCAAATCAGACCATTCGGTATACACCGAACTCGGACCGAATGGATTTCGGATCGGTCTTCGGTCTAAAAAAAATTAGGAATTCGTGTTTCGGTGCGGTCCGGTCCAAACCCGAAATGATTTAGGTCCGGCCCGATTGGACCGGATGGACCTAATAACCCTGTTGGACATAAAAGACCTAAATACGTAAACTCTACTTTTTAAATTCTGTAATACACTTTGATGCTTTACTTGAATAAATATTTTAATTTATTTAATTTAAAAAGTTTTTGTTAAGATATTTTTTAAAGAAAAAGTTCAAAAAAAGTTCCGCATTAGTTTTTATTATTCTACATATAGAAGTAGTTCAAGAAAGCTTCCTAGGGCCAGCGTTTGTCAACCGCTGAGATACGCGATTTGGAGAAATTTTCCACTTCTACCCATGAAAATCTAGCGAGAAAGTTGGCACCTAATTGCATCTCCGATCTATATAGCCACAATTCCACAGTAAAAAATTAGGGTTGATTTGTGCAGGAGAGAGTTGCTCAATGGAAGAATCCAATTCTTTACAAGTAAGAAATTAAAATCCTTTCAGATTTCTTTAATTCTGTATATTTAAACCTTATGAGTTTATTTTTTAACAATAATTAACATTATAGCAATAAGAGTAATAAAACAAGATTATTTATATATACACACAAAAAATGGCGGGGCCATGATCAGGTGGCCCCCGATCAACAGTGGTCAACACCGGAGACCGGTTTTAAAAGATGTAGAGGCTTTGAAGAAACAAAATATATTTTCCTATCCTTTCTTAATGCATTGCAAATATGCAATGCAACGAAAGACGTACAAACAAAAAACATGCATGGTGTGTTAGGCATGGGGCATGCACCCAAAACCAAGCTAGCTACCTGCATGCAAAGAACAAGAATAATGTATACTCCCTCCGTTCTCAAAAATACTTCCTCTTTCATTTTTTCCACTTCCAACAAAACACTTCCCTTTTCTATTAAAAAACCACTTTTACCCTTACTTTTTCATACCCTACCTATCACATAATACTTTTTCTCTAATAATCTATTCATCACATTTTACATTTACCCATCACATCAGGGGCAAAATTGAAAATCAACTATAATTTAACACTTCCTTATTTTTGCCCCAAATCAAAATGGGAAGGGTTTTTTCAAACGGAGGGAGTATTAATATTGCCGTCTATTCGTCCAGTTTGATATTCTTTTAAGTCACACTAGAAGATGAATTATTATGTTCAAATAGATAAAAAATTGTATAATTTCCGTGTTTGACTATTTTTTTAGTTTTGACTTTTTGCAATAAAAAATAATTAGTATATTAAATAGATAAAACAATATCTTAAAAGCATTTCACACGATAAATCTAATAAAATCATTCTTGCCTCAATATCTATTATAAATTTTATTTAACTAACCGACAAAGTTTATCAAATTTGACCGCAAAAAACTCAAAACTGGACAAACATATTACAGGATAAATCTAATAAAAATGACTTTGTTAGACTTGTGTTGCATACAACTTTCCAAATTCTGTTTCGTTGTATTTTGATATGCAATACACATTGGTGGGAAATTTACCTAAATAGGACTAAAAGATAATGACTTTCTCAATAAAGGACCATATGTTTTTATTTCTCAATGTAGGACCATTGATCATTATACATTAGTCAATATTCAAGTAAATATCCACCATCATTGGACATTATTTCTCCCACTAGACATTATTAAGTACTCCCTTCGTCCCTGAGTATTTGTCCACTTTTGACTTTTTTCGGTCAAAATTGGTAAACTTTGACCTCAAATTAAATAAAAAGGAAATTAGATATTGATACAAAAAGAGTTTTATTAGATTTATTATATCAAATATTTTCAAAATATTATTTTATTTAATGAAAATATAATGTATATTTTATTTTATTATAGGTCAAAGGTTGAAAACAGTTGACCGAAAAAAATCAAAACTGGACAAATACTCAGGGACGGAGGTAGTACTATTTAAGGAATAAAAAAGGTTAAGTACTACATTAGGAAATGACTTATGTTTTAGTCCTATTTAGTGCAAATTTCACATACACATTTAGTGTAGTTGATGATTAAAATTTGTCCCGTTCGACTCAAAAAAATTCAAATCAGATGAATACACTGTAAGGGAGACTCATGGAGTACATATCACTAATTGCACCTACCTATACCTGTTTTTTCTCCTACATATATACTGTCCTATAAGATGCATGAGGTAGGGATATATATATCAGATGGCTTCTTAAATTAGCTTGCACGCACGCACTGCAGTCATATATCTCATTGAAAAAAAAGGGGCAATTTTCATATTTAAAAAAAAGGGTCAGCCTGAACGCTGACCCCGGCGCCCCGAGTTGAATAGTGAGAGGGTAAATCACAATAGAATCCCGTGCTTGGCGTATAGTCGTATACAAGGAATTATTGCATTGGATAAAACTTCAACTCAATTCCACACTGACGCTGTCGGGAATCGATCTGTTCCGAGTCCTCAGACCTAACGAACACTCTTCCCTCGGGACCGTCTAAGCCGATTGAAGATGAAGAATAAGAATGGCTCTACTACTGCAGTTTCCATGGGAGATAATGTAGGAGTAATTAACAAGAAGAGGAAGAAGGGTTTTTCAAAGGGAGTGTGCTTTAAAGAGCAAAAAGGCAGGCTCTTCATTATCAGAAGATGCATTGTTATGCTCCTCTGCTGGCACGAATAATTCGCCGTTTCACCCGCACGTTTTACTCTCTGCCATCGATCTGCAATCAAAATCTAACTTACCTCCTATCAGTGACCGTCCGTCCCGAGGGCTCATCCTTTTCGTATAGCCCGATTTACGCCGTCAACGTTGCACCTAACCCCATCCAATCGAGCCATTAGGAAAAAGGATGAGGCCCATCCCCGAGGGCCCCCTCAAACCCGGCCGGACGATAGGGATTTCATGTAGGGTGAAACAAGACTCAATTTACTACAACTTGGTTTATGATTTTAAAGATGAAGTGCAAAAAATAAGTCCTATCTCACTCACTCACTCAGTGGAACATATATAATTGAATTGGTTTTTTTTTTGTTTTTTTTTGTATTTGTGTGTAGTAATTTTGCATATTCATTATAAAGTGATTGGTTGATATGGCGAGGGTTTGTTTGGATGGATGTTTTGGAGAAGCGGATTTTAGGCCAAGTTTATGTTGACTCTGTGGAGATTTCTCAAAAATTAAGAAAAATGTTAAAAGTTAAAAGATAAAAAATACTTTATGTGGCCTAAATTTGTTTATAAGAAAGAAATATTATGGGTGAAATGTTCTTTTTATAAATATAAGAAAGGGTAAAAGCTGGAAGATCATTTCGAGATATACAAAAGAAAAATGGATAGGTCTTTGTGGATTGGTGAGGGCTGTTTGGGAATTGCTCTTCAAACCCAAGAAAGTATTGGACTTGGCTGCTGCGCATCCATACCTTTTAACTCCCTCCACCAAATATTTCTTGTTTTGATTTTTAAGCGATTTAAGAGGGAGTGTATTTTGGTATTGACTTTCCAAAAATGCCCTTAAATGTGATAAATAAAAGTAGATGTGATGGGTAGATTAGTAGTGAAAAAGTGTGATGTGATAGGTAGTTTGAGAATTAATAGGGGTAAAAGTGACTTTTTAATATAAATGAGAATTTTTTTAGGACTAATGAAAAAAGAAAGGAGAAAGGTTTTGTGGGACGGACGAAGTACTTCTCAAGTCTAAAAAAGCTTTGATCTTGCAGTGGAACAATGGAATGGAGAAAAGAACAGTTTAGGAATTAGTCCTCAAGTATAAGAAAGCATTCAACAAGGGGGGGAGGGGGCAGTGGGGAAATTTTTAAATACCAATGGTGTGTTTGGTTGGGAGGAAAATACTAATTTTGATTCCATTTTCCTGTGTTTGGTGACATTACTGGAAGGAGAATAATTTCCATAGAAAATATTTTACCCCCAACCAAACACAACCCAAGAAACTAGACCTGGCAAAAAATGACCCGACCTGTTTTTGACCCGAAACCCGACCTGAAAACACTGGGTTTTGAACAAAGGTTTTGATGACCGAACCCGAAGTTGAACGAACCCGAAATGACCCGCTAAAAATGGGTCAAACCCGAACGAACCCGAACCCGACCTGACCGACCCGCTAAAGTAAGAATTTTTCAAAATCATACACTTTACTACTCGTTTTTAGTGTACAAATTTAAATTTTCAGATAAAATTTTAATGATATTGCATAATTATCTTACTTTTTCCCAAAACTTAAACATTTTTAAATTTCTTATATTGATTTATATATCTAAAAATTACTTCAGAGTTTAAAATAAAATTATTTTATAGATTTAATACAACTTTTTGGATATTTTAAATTTATTTAATAGAAAATGTAAGTGTTAATGTGAACTTAAAAATTTTAAAAATCAAAGTCATAACCCGTTGGGTCGACCCGAACCCGACAATACTGGGTCACGAACATACAGTTCTCAACCCGAACCCGAATTGACCTGAACCCGAAATAACCCGAACTTGAAATGACCGAACCCGAACCCGACCTGACCGACCGATTTGCCTGTTCTACAAGAAACCATTGATCTCACTGCAGCATATCTATGCAAAAAAGGACAGTTTGGGAATTACACATGAAGTCCAAGATGGGTAATTTACCTAAATAGGATTAAAACATAATGACTTTCTCAATATAGGACCATATGTTTTTATTTCCCTATGTAGGACCATTGGTCATTATCTATTAGTCATTATTCAACTAAATGTCCAACATCACTTGGACATTATTCTTCTACCTAGTCATTATTAAGTCCTATTTAGAAAATAAAAAAGTTTAAGTCCTACATTGGGAAATGATTTATGTTTTAGTCTTATTCACTGCAAATTTCACGTCCAAGAAATCAGTGGTCTTGCAGCAGCATATGATTGGAATAAGGAAATGGGCAGTTCGAGAATTTCAAGCTACCAAGAAGGCGGAAGAAGTAAAACCCCTTCTTGGCGAATCCATAGAACACTATTAGAGCGTAAAATAATCGGTATATAAGCTCTTGAGTTGAACTAACTAATCGAATGGATTTAATTCTTTAATGTGGTCCAACCCAAGTTCCTTATGGCCTACTTTCTATCTCTTTCATAAACAAATCCTTCTCATCTCCCTAAATATTCTTTTAAAATCATATTATGATCCTTCCTATTTGCAATTCCTTGAGTGGTAACGACAACTTTTAGGAAATTTTCAATAAGTCATAAGAATGGTTGGCCCAACACCTGTCCTGGAGCAAGCTAACACGGCCCGTCCGGAGCGATAAGGCAAAGAGGACATCGTCGCCGATGGTGCCCGAACCCGAAGGGTCAACTATCGGCAACCTTCTTTCCACCATGCTGCCTTCAATAAAGTGCAATCGCACAAGATTCGACTGAAATATAAAGATGCCAATGAGGCACTTTGGTTGGAGCGTGAACGTAATAAGGTAATAGAGTACGAGATTCTGATGGCGAGTATTATCATTTGCCACCTCTAAAGCGCACAAGTGTTCTAAAAATGAAGGCCAAAATTAGTCAAAATTGGCTTGGAAGTGCAACCGACAACTTAGATAGCGATCTTTGATTTTTTTTCAAGTAATTGTGTATTTTATTAGAATACTTGTATTTTTTTACTTCATCTATCCCTCTTATTTTCTTCTTCTTTTATACATTATGTCAATGTAACTTTTATTTTTAATGAAATATTTATTTAATGTTTTTATTTAAGTTATTTTGATTTATATAAATTAAAAACAAAATTGTGCATGATTCACACTCTATCTAACAAAATTGAGCGTGATACACACAAAAACTATCGAAAGTCTGGATTAATGAACATTAAATATTTTTGGAGAGAAAGAAATATTAGATATTCTGTGTGTCCAAAAATTATCTTTGCAATTACTATTCACAGAGTCACACTTTATTTACTTTTTTAGCCTAATTTCGTTGCTCATTTGATAAAATAATATAGTAATGTCATCAAATCTTTTGATGTAGTTTTTAAATATGTACTTTTTATTTTTTTTAATTCCACACGATTTTTCACATAAAATCATTTGAAAATAACTTCAGTCAAACATCGTAAGGCGCAACGGAAAGATAATTTTTGGACGGAGGGAGTAAATTTTATCCAACTATAAAAAAGGCCCATTAATTTTTACGCAGACCTTAAGCCCGCATAAGAATTTACCAAAAAAGGCCGCTAAAGAAAGAAAAAAGGCTCATATACCTTTATTTGAGTCTCAATTTCTAGTCCATATCCCTATATAAGCAAATGAGCTGCAGAAAGCCAGCATGAAAGCATTGACACATACAGGAAAGTGCTAAATACAAAAAGGTTTTGATGTAGAGAAGTAAAACAATACAAATACAGCACACAAGTTATCCAAATCGGAGGCAGGAATCAAACTTCTCCGGTTTATGATTCAAATAAGACCCAACGGGCACAATTGCCTGCGAAACAAAGAACATGAAGATTTCAGCATTCTTTTCACATACCCATTGATAATAATGATATAATGCCAATTCTTATGATATAATACAACTACAAAAGTCAAATTGTGGAAGTTCAAATGTCCACACTTATAGACAAGTAGAAAATTGTCTTATGCATCTACCATATAGGGTTGAAAACAATTAGAGGCACATTTCAAGGTGCAGTAAACTATAGTGTTAATGGATATTTGCCGTTCTAAGAAACAAAAGAATCACGTTAGTGAACAGCATTCAGAAGAATTAAGACTAACACATTGCCATCTTGAATAATATGATTCTTTTTTTTCCACTACCCGAGTTATATGATCGCCAATCTTGGGTTTCTTCATCGGAGCAGAGAACTACAAAAACATATGATCACACAAAACTGAAACCAGTTTGAATGCACACTATCCGTTTCTTGATTGCGTCACTTCTATTCCATTGTTACCAAAATGTGACATTTCTACAATTAAAAAAAGTGAGTCTACTTATACAACAAATATGTTTGGCGTGTTTCATTTTTGCACATCACAGGTTTGTCCATGCATCCCAAACAAAATTTGCAAAAAGATAACTTTCGGTTGACACGAGTTTTTTAATAAGAACGCGTACGTCCTCATGTTTTTATAAAAACCAGCAAAATACTATCCAGCAGTAATATCTAATACTCCTATTATCATGAATAATATAGTAAACTAAAAGCTCCTATTTTATCCTTATTCATATAGTCCGCTTGTCTTCTGCTATGATCATTGACCACCATCCCTTTTAGCTTTCTCTGTTCTTTTCTTCCATTTGAAATAGAAAAAAAAGCACAAAAAAAAATCCATTTTTAGGCAATTGCAAATTAGACATATTAGTCAATCCATTTTTTTCCTCAGACATATTATTCGTCAAAATATTAGATATTAGTGTGGCAAAGCATCCTTGTAGCCTTTACAAAAAATAAGGGTCTCTAATGGTTTTCAAAAAACATTAGGACTAACGAGTTCTTACGAGAAAACTTGTGTCGCCCCAAAGTTCTTTTTTTTTTTTTGCAAACTTTGTGTGTGAGGCATCTCATCTATGAAATGCAAAAGAGAAGCTTAGTGTACACCTTCATGTCACTAAGCATTACCCCTCATAGTCTTATACAAACACCCTGCATCATTCTCATTTTCTAGCCTTAAGAGCAAAGTTATCAAATTGAGATTTAAACCATGAATTGTATTTAATTGAAGATACATAATACTCCGTAAATGTTAAAATTAAAATACACGCACAATATATCATATATACATATATATCACACACACTTCAAAATAAAACTACTATTAAAGATCCACATCATTAAACAAGTCCACTCATTAGAAAAGTGAAAGAAGTTGTGACTGGCTGCACACACAATAACATAAACCATACAGACATACAGTCCTTTTTGGTTTGCTTCATCATTGCATATCCCAATCAGTTTTAGTTCAACAATTTCATGGACTTCATCACACTCCTTCCAAAGAGAGGCAAACCAGTCATATTTGTGATTGAAGATCAACACTCAAATATGTGTATTTTATGCAGCACGCCTACACCACTCTGCTGCCCAAACTTTTATCACACACTATTTTAAAGTACATGGATTGTCTCAATCCACTTTAAGTGATTACGGCCCCATTTTCACAACTACCTGGGAAGAGTTATTAGCTCATCCAACAAACATGCATTTGTGATGGTCATGCTTTTTAAGAAAATAAAGGGATTCCCTTTTGTAAAAACAAACAAGAGTTGGATCCATCCAAGAAAAGGTTGAAATTTTAAATATAAAAAGTAAGAAGTTACTTATGTTCAATTTGAGAAGTAGGAAAATGAACTTTATTAGGATAGACTGAATAGGAAAGTAGATCATTTTAACTTCAATAGAAACTTTTTATCATTTTAACTTCAATAGAGACTTTGAGTTTTGCATAAGTTGTTTTAAGACCAGCACTTTTGAATTTGTTTGGTGGTGTTTTTATTTGCAATATAGATCAAAAATCCATTATTGTTGAATGAATTTATGACGTATGTATATTTGTAAATTTAATTAATTACATGTGTCATATGGTGACACCATACTTGCACCATCACCACAAGAAACTGGACCATCACCATGATTGTCACCAAGCACCATGACAGCTATGATTTTAATGAATGTATTGGATTTTACTTGGGCTAGGATCATAATGCTTATAAAAATATAAATAAAAGGTTCAAGGAGAAAATTCTAAAAAGAATAGGAGAGTGAAAATGAAAGGGGGAAATTGATGCTTGTCAATACAAACATGTTGATATAAGAAAGACAGAATCATATGAAGATGATTAAGGATATTTCAAACGAAGGGATATTTCTAATAAAAAGTAAAAACTTTTTTGGATGATAATGATACACACTTTGGGGTACATATTTCAAATAATACGTGCATGGCCACTGTCAGTGCCTACTTCCATAGTATTTTCTGATAGCATGCTACCTCTAGGTTCTGATAGGGTGGACTTAGCAAAAAACAGACATGTTACAACAAAAGACATATGTAGTTGACATAAAACTTTTTTTATTACAGACATACAGCTTTCTGTGAAAAAAGTTACCATTTGCGAATAAAGAACATTTCATATAAATCTGAGACAAAGAGAGCTAAAAATTCGGTAGTTATAGCACAACAAGGTTTACTGTGAAGTAAAATTAGTTTTCTATCATCCACATTTGTATGTTATTGTGTTAAGTCAGCTTTTAGTGGAGTCCACCCCACCAAACTTGGTGGCAGTATACTGTCAAAAAATACAGCTAAAGTGGGTAGTTGTAGTGGCCAAGAAATTAGCACGTACATATGATTATATCGTCCAAAAACCCTAACCTAAAAGGCCTTCTGCTGATGATGATTGGGTAGACAATTGGCTCGTATTATCACTACTAAAATTTGTCCCTTCTGTTTCTTATTTTATCAATTCTTAGAACAATTTAGAGGGGTAAGCTTGTGCACATCTGGACCTCCCCCCAACCCATCAGTGTTGGAATTGTTGTTGTTGCTGTTGACTTGTTGCTCTAAAATTATTTATTACGGAGTTTTTTTTAGACTCAGAACTTTGATGTTTACCCTTCCACTTCACTTCATTAGTTAAAAACAACACTCAGTTTTGAGATCTTTGCTATAATGCAAAGTAATCCTATGTGCCTATGCCGCTTTGGTGCACCCTCTTATTTTATTATTTGTGGCCATGATGGGCTCCTAATTTAGTTCGATGATCGCTTCATCATCCACAAGATAGTTGTCTCATGACCCATATAACAAAACAACAACCCAGTAGAATCCCACAAAAGTAATGTCTGTGGAGGGTGTGTGTACCCCACCCCCTATTAGAAATAGAAATGTGATGGGATTAACCCGATCAGATGGCGGACCAAGAACGTTATATGGATCAGAAAGATATAATCACTCAATAATATTCTTTGATTAAGTGTAGAATTACTTGATGTCCCTTACAATGGTAGGTTCTTTCCCCTTTTATAGTACTTCTAATATTGTAATTAAAATTATACAAAATGGGAGGGATCATGGAGATCATGGGGTTGTGTTTCCCTCTTTTCCGGTCTCGTTCTCTTCCCATCTCGTCCACAATCTGGTGGTGTGGGCCACGTATCCTGTTCCTCCTTTGGACTAGGTCACCATGATTTAGCCTATGATTGGGCCGTCCTTTTCCCATTCGCCATGCGTGTAGTAGCGGGCTCGGCCCGTTACCCCCACCTGGCCTTATCCATCTCGCGCTATTATGGGCCTTTATTGGGCCTGGAGTCGGGTCCATCAGACTCGATATCCATCACAAGCCCCCTAGTTTTCTGGCGACGTGTCGCTAGAAAACTAATGATGAGCCGCCTTCGGTTTTCGTGTCGGATTAGAAACGTCGCACTCGAGTACCTTGGGTCCCTCCTTTCAACGGATATAACCCCTTCTGGACTCGTCTTCTTCCTCCTTTGCTATCGAATCTCAACCCGACCCGAATCCCGACTGCAACTTCCCCCAAATTCTCGCTCCCTTCCCCAAAATGGCTCCTGCAAATCCCGCAACCTGGACCCACGAACCCTCTATCATTAAGGAGGACGATCTTCGAGAAGTGGCCGTGCTTCTGGGCAAGGGCTTCTGGGTCCACCATCCCGATGCCGTCGGGGGATTAGTTTATCCCACAATCCAAACCCTCAGAAGTATATGGTCATGCAATATCACTCTGTGGAAAATGGGTTCAGGTTGCCCCTCCACGGTCTGCTTCGCGACATCTGCCGCCATTTCGGATTCGCTCCGGGCGTTTTGCCCTTGCTAGGCCCTGCATTAGCTCACTCCCTCCCTTGGTGCCTTGTTCGGCTAGTGTCCCACCCACTAGCAACAAGAACGGACAAAATAGCCAACCATCCCCGTTCGAAATACCGGCATCCCAACAACCGGCATTTCAAAGGCCAACAAAACCGTAGCCAGGTGGCGGTTGAAGCTTGGGCATTTGATATGCTAGGGGAATGCTGTCTCTTGTATTGTGGGAGCCTTCTCACCACCAAGGATGACTCCAAGGACGACTAGTTGAGCACTAACATCTTCCACGCTGCCTGGTCTCAAAAATCCCAGTTGACTGCCAACGCGCACAAGTATGTCGCGTCTTACATCTTGCGGTGCTGTGCCCTGGACAGAACCCCCACATTGGACGAATTCCTCATCCTCTTCAGTATCGGTGGGTCTTTTCCTTTTTACAGCCTGTTTCCTCATCCCCACGCTCCAATCTTTGAGAGGGTTGAGTTTAAACACGACAAATGGTCCCAGCAATACTTCGTCATTGAGTTCCTGGCTCACAGTCCCTTAGATCTGCCGGGTGTCGTTCTCCGTAGTTCTATTTCCCGGACGAAGTTCGTTGCAGCGCCCCTGGCGGAGGAAGTTTACAATGCCTTGAGGGAGAAAGGGGGTTTAATTCCGCACCACTCCCTCCAAGACGCCAGGTTATACAGGAAGGCGGATTTTTACTATCCCCTGGGTCCTGACCCCGTTCCGTTTGAAGGGGAGCCTTCCCCTGAAAGGTCAAAGGCTCCTCTTGCTGTGGAGTCCGATCCAGCCGGGAGCTCCTCGCCTCCTCCGGAAACCAGACTCAAGGTGACTTCACCGCCTTGGCCATTCACAAGCCGGCTGCTGCCCTGGAGGCTGTTCCCATCTCCGCCATCCCCGGGCTGAGGAAGCCACTCCGTCCCAGAAACAGCCACGAGAAGGGGTCACAGATGATGACTTTCTTCCCAAGAAGAGTAAGGGTGATGGTACTCCTGCCAGTCCCATGTCTACTTTTTCTGGTACCCAGCATACCATCCCTGCTGCTGCATCCGAGGGTTTAGAGCTACCCCACCCGGATAGCTTAGATCGTGAGGGGGATGAACTTCCTGCCTAAGCAGCACTCAAGAGACCGGCGGTGCAGCCTCAGCCTGAAGTAATCAATACCTCCCCACCAACTGCAACTTCCCCCCATGGGGTAAAGGAAGGAGTTGAGAGGCAGAAGGAACCAGAGACTTCCCCTGAAACCGAGAAGGAAGTCGAAGTGCAGACAGAACCAGAAACTCCCCCTTCGAAGGAGGAAGAGGTTGGAGAGCAGAGGGATATGGGAGCTCCCCCAGAAATGGAAAGAGAGCCCGAGAAACGACCAGAGCCGGAGGGACAGTGTTCTACTGCCACACCTCCAGCCTTCAATGTCCCCATCCGGCGTAAGTTCACACCCCAAACTTACCCCGCCTTCAAGGAAGGATGGACTAGGTTCTCCCGCGGTTTGATCTCCATGCAGGCCTCCCACTGGACCATCCAAGCGAATCCGGAGAAGATAAAGGAATCATTAAAGGAGCCCACAATCCCCCAGGCTCGTCCTGATCTGCTTGCCCTCAATGCTCTCTACTCCATGGAGCAGGTACTTTTCTCTCTCAAGAGTCTCTTTATTTTTCTTATTTTCCTTTTTGGTTATCTCTTCCTTGACTCCACTTTCTCCCTTCCAGGCCCAACAATCGCTCCTCACTAGGAATACCTGGGTGGTGCATCAGGGAACTATCGGGCCGTGGTGGTCCTGAAGGAGAAGGAGTTGGCTGCCAGGGCTCTGCAACAGAAAGTTGACACCCTGGAACGACAAGTCCAGATCCTCTAAGAAGAGAATGCCCGGCTCAAGGCAGATGGCCCAATGGAACTAGCAGCTGAAAGGTCCAGGGTCAAGTCCCTGCAAGAGCAGATTGCTGCTTACCAAAGGGGGACCCAGGATCTGGAAACGCAGTTTGACAGACTCCGGGCACAAATCTCCATCCTAGAGTCCAAGGCCTCAGCTTCAGAAGACAAGGTGGGAAGCCTAAAAGCTGAGCTGGTTGAAAGGGAATCCCGGATTTCTGAGCTGGAGAGTTCCCTCCAGGAGGCCAAGCATGAGGGTGCCCGTCTTAACGACCTCGTGGTGAAACACATAGAGGCGAAAGGGCTTACCCTCGAGAAGTTGGGGAAGGAGAGACAAACTGCCAGCGAGCTCCGGTCAAGGATGGGTGCACTGGAGAAGGCAATAGCTACTCATCAAGAGGAGGTTGCCACCCTGACTGACTGCCCGTGCTGAAGCCCTTAATGAAGAAGGGAAATTTGACATGCAACACTGCATCTATGAGGCGGTCCAGAGTGGTCTTGTGGTCTTCCAGTTCACCGATCCTTGGATGATTTCATCTCAGCTCCCACTACGGGTTACCTCTTCCTCTTCCTCCCCCGGATTCTCGTGCTGACCCAGGGCCTTGACTTTCTTTCTCTTCATTATCTGTTGTATTTGGCTTTGTAACATTTAAATGGTAGCAACTTGATAACGCTTGTAACATTTTGTTCTTCGCCATTTATCTCTTTCATATCCGTATCTCTGTAGACTCCTTCCTTTGGGCTAACTGTTCTCCTTTTGGGATTCTTATCCCTCCCTAGGACTTAGCAGAATTTTTATCCGTCTAAGCCTTGGGCTTAACCATGTTATGAAGTGCTGTTTTTTTTATCATTCCGCTAAGTGACTGGCCCACCTTAATTACGCCGGGCCCAATTCACCTTAGCCCAATAATGAAACGGTGCAACCCTAGCTTTCCTCGGGAATCCGCAACTGCTTCCCAATCGGATAAGTGCTTTGACTCCGCGTCCCTTGCACTTCTCCTTTAGGATTACTCGCCTATTTAAGGGGCCAGGCTGAACCCCTTCATCATCACAATCAAATTCTCAGCATGGCTACCAACGCCAACCAAGTTGTCTTTATTGATCTTACTATTTCCGATTCTTCTTCTGATTCTTCTTTGTTGGCATTCCCCTCACTTGGGGCCCCAACACCTGAACTCTCTTCTGGGCCTTCTCTTGCCTCTGAACAATCGGTGACTTCTCCCTTGCCAGGGAGGAGAATCACCCTCATCTCCCCCAACAGGTATCAGGGGGTGTTCTTCCAGATTCCGGCGTGCTTCCTACTAGTGCCAGGACAGGAGTTTTTTCGGGCTGTCCTGGTACGTCCCGCCCACAAAAGAGACGCAATCCCCACTCAGGAGCTTCCCGGTTGGTCTCTGGTGCGAGGCCTTCCTCCCAGGGTTCCCCTCCCCTCAGCAGTCATATGGACAACCACCTGAGGAGTGGGGGGACTATGACATGGGGGGAAGTAGGCTTCCGTTTAAACGCAGGGAAAAGGACGGAACCTTCCGGGATCCGCCTCCACCTTCCGTATAAGCGGAAATAGGCCTTGAGTTCTTCCCTCATGCCTTATCGTCCTCCTTGTCCGCCTTCATGGGAGTGACTGGATGGTACCCACGGGGGGAATGACTTTCAATCCCAACCCGTTGGTACCATTTTGCTTCTTTTGAATGTCATCAAGAGGAACGATGGGCTCTCTCCACACCTCCCCGCTCTGGGGTCCTTTTCTGGCCAGGCATGGCAGCAAGGGTCAGCGAATGCCCTCCCCTCTGATTTCTGAGGTGCCGACAAGCCCTGCCTTCAGATTTTTCCAGTAGTAGGATAGAAGTAGATCAGGGACAAAGTTCATTACTGTAACCCAAAAGAATGTAATCTTCTGTTTGAGTTATTTAATGAAAATCTTTATCTCCCGTCTCTTTTATGTTTTATTATTATTAGATCAAGGATAAGGTCCATTGTTGTAACCCAAAAGAATGTAATTTTCTGTTTGAGCTATTTAATGGAAAAACCTTTTTTCTCCTGTCTTTAATATAATCGTGTTGTACGTGCCGCCATCTGCATGAAGTAGAAGTCTATATTCATTTAACTCCTTACCTTCCACGGACGACATCTTTCCCCAAGCGCAGATGGGCCTAATTGACTGGCCCATGCACTTAAGTGGCGAAACCCCTGGTCAAACATTGGGAATCTTCGACCGCTTCATTCGCCAATCGTCTAGTCTTTTGTATCTTTTAACCATATTCATTATTTCCCAACTATCCCTTCCCCTTTCACTATAAATGGGAAAGGATGGTTTGCTGCTAGTTCATCCCTTTCTGATTTCTTCGCCACGGCAAGTAAATCTCAGAGTAAAGTCGTCATCGACTTAACCCTTTCTGGGACATCTTCTTCGGATGATGATTTCTCCGCCTCTCCGGCTCAATCCAACGACATGGTTGGGTTGAGTCCTGGCGAGTTCTCAAGACTTTATCCACACCTCGTCTTCCTGCACCATCTCCTCCTAGTCCACCCAGGCTTCCATCCGGGAGGATAGACTGAGACTCTATGACCCTCCAAGACTTTGCCTTGTACCAGAGGATGCGCAGGGCTAAACTTGGGCGTTCTTTGCCGACTGTCGAGGCGGAACCTTCACGTGAAAGCCGGACTGCTTCTCCAAACTTGCTGAAGTCTCTCAATGATGGTTCTTCATTGGGAGCACAAGCTCCCCGTCCTGGGACGTGGGAAGACTATGACATAAGGGAAGCTGCTGATTCCGCCGCGTGCCCCTCGTCAAAGAGAAGGAGCCCATGGAAGGGGCCCTCGCCTCCTTGTTGACTGCATGGATGCAATAGGTCCGCCTTCAGTGCCTAGCCCCCCTGCAAATTAAATTTCCTTTCCTTGTTTTATATCAAGAGGCATTCACTTGTTTGGTCCAGGAGTTTTCCTTGCGTCCCAAACTAAGGAATGTCCTTTAATCTCATACTAGGAATTATCGTTGTAATTCAAAGTACAACCTCCGAATTAGCAATCGATGAACTCCCTCATTTTCTTTTCTTTTTTATCTCACTAGGAACCATTATTGTGAACCAAAAATGTAAACTTTGGCCCATCAATGTGGTCCTTAATGTTTATTTCTTTGCACTTTTTCTAATGCAAGTACCTATTTCATTCTCTGTACAAAATCTCATCTCCTGGGGTTTGGACATGCCATGGGAACTTACCTCACCTGCCCCTGACCTCCTTTCCTCCGGGTCAAGGCATAATCTTATCTACCTTGGATCAGTTGAGCTCCAACCCTCGAAGTTTGTTTGCTCGGTTGATCTGTGCTGGTGGAATACTAAGCTTCAGCCCTCGAAGTCTGTTTACTGTTCTTCCCGAATTCGAGGTTGTAAAGGCCCTCAAAGTCCAATCCCAACCTTTCCTTCATTTTTCACGGAGGCATAAACTTATCTACCTCCAGGGGGGGCATAAACTTATCTATCTCCCCTATTTTTAGCAGGTGGCATAAACTTATCTACCTCCCTGTAATGTGGGTCTATATCGCCCGGGGGTGCTCTCCCCCCCCCTTTTTTTTTGAAGAAATCTATAGAACAATGAAAATGCAAAGGCACTTGGCTTTAAAGGAAAGAAAATTTTATTGAAACAAAACATCATAAATCCAAAAATAAAGCGCTTTACAAAATGATTTTACTGATAAAATTTGACCAAGTGCTCTACATTCCATATCCTATCAATTTCTTTTCCCTTTGGAGTCACCAACTTGTAGGTACCTGGGCGAACAACGGCCTTGATGATATAAGGTCCTTCATATTTCTTAGCCAGCTTCCCACCCTTAGTTGGTTGACTCTTCTCTCGCTTCCTCAGAACGTAATCCCCCACCTGGAATGCCCTTGGTTTTACCCTACTGTCAAAGTAAGATTTCACCTGGCGACGATAGTTCTCTGCCCGGATCTGTGCTTCATCCCTCCGTTCCTCTACGAAGTTTAGCTCTATGGCTTGGTTTTGTTCGTTCACTTCCGGGTCGTATTCTATCTCTCTCCTGGTAGGGATCACTGCCTCAGCGGGAGCCCGGGCTTCAAAACCATAAGCTAAGCCGAAAGGAGTGTCACCCGTAGCCCTCCTGGGAGTTGTTCTGTATGTCCACAGGATTCTGGGTAGTTCATCCACTCATTTGCTTCCCGCTGAAAGCAGCTTCTTTTTTATTCCACTTATGATTGTCCTGTTGACGTTCTCCACTTGTCCATTAGCCTGAGGGTAGGCGACAAACACTTTTGTATGCTGAATTCCCCAAGTTTTGAGGAAGTCTTGGAACTCTGCTTCCTCAAATTGGGTTCCATTGTCAGATATGATCTGCTTCGGGACTCCAAACCTACAAAGTATATTGGTTCCGACGAAGTCGATCATCTGCCTCCCAGTTATCCCAGCAAGTGGCTCAGCTTCCACCCACTTGGTGAAATAGTCTATGGCCACCATAATCCACCTTGCCTGCCCAGCCCCTTTCGGCAGGGCACCCACAATATCAATCCCCCATCTTGAGAAGGGAATCAGCTGATGGGCGTGTAGTTCGTGGCTGGCCTCCCGGGCATATTCTGGAATTGTTGGCAAGTTGGGCACTTGCACAAGTACTCTTCGCAATCCTTCCTCATCGTTGGCCAGAAATATCCCTGGATAATCGCCCTTCTGGATATAGAGTATGGACCCTGATGCGCAGCACATACTCCTTCGTGTATTTCTTCCATTAGTGCCTTCGCCTCCGCTGCCCTGAGGCAGCGGAGTAACACACCGTTGTAAGATCGCTTATAGAGAACTCCATCCTGCACCTTGTAGGTGGGTGCCCTCATTCGCAGCAAACGGGCTTCTTGGGAATCCTCCGGGGCTACACCGTCCTCAATGTATTTTGCCAACCTATCCAACCATTCCGGGGGATCAGCTGATACCCAAGACACTTCATCTCTGTTGAGACTCGGAGTTGCCAGCTCCTCGACAGTTGCTAATTTGCTTATGTACTCTGGTGATTCTGCGCTGAGCTTGGATAGAACATCAGCTTCCGCGTTTTGAGCCCGGGGTATGTGCTCAAGCCTAAACTCGAACCTTCCCAACATTTCCAATGATAAATCTCGGTACCTCTTCATCCTCTCTTCCTTTGCTTCAAACTCCCCAGTGATTTGTCCCACCACCAGTCGGGAGTCGCTGTATACTTGAACCCTGGACACTCCCAACTTGCCAAGAATCTTCAGTCCGTTGATCAAGACCTCGTATTCAGCTTCATTGTTGGATACGCGGAACTGAAATCTGATAGCGTAATATATCCGGAAATTTTCCGGAGTAATCAAAACAATACCTGCTCCACAGGATCGAGACCCCGAAGATCCATCGATGCTCATTACCCACCAGTCATCTTCTACCCGGGTTTCGGCCTGTGCTCTCGTCATTTCCCTAGCAGTACACTCGACTTGGAAGTCAGCAAGTGCCTGCCCTTTGATTGATGGGCGCGGCCTGAACTCCACACTGTACTGACTAATGAATACCGCCCACTTGGTCATTCGGGCGGATGCCGCCGGGCTCCGGGTAAGTGACGCCAAAGGCTCATTAGTGAGCACAACAATCCGGTGAGCCTGAAAGTACGGGGTTAATCTCTTCACCGTCCAGAAGACCACCAACATGGCCTTTTCTGGACGGGAATACCTTAACTCCGCATCTCTCAAGGTCTTGTTGACGTAGTAGACCGGATGTTGGGCCCCATTCTCTTCCCTCACAATCACAGTACTGATGGCACAATCTGCAATTGCCAAGTATAGAGTCAGGACATCCCCAAGTTCCGGCTTAGATAAAACCGGGGGACTCGCCAGATATCTCTTCAATCCTTCAAATGCTTCTTGACATTCCTGCGTCCATTCGAAGGTCGCCCTTTTCTTGATTACAGTAAAGAATGGGTGCGCCTTCTCTGCCAGCTTTGAAAGGAAACGATTCAAAGCCGCCAATCTCCCTATCAGTCGTTGAACTTCCTTTGCTGTCCTCGGGGGTTCCATCTCCATGATGGCCCTAACTTTTTCCGGGTTTGCCTCAATCCCTCTCTGGCTAACCATGTGCCCGAGGAATTTTCCACCCTGAACAGCAAAAGTACATTTCTTCGAACTCAATCTCAAATTTACCTTCATCGTGATTTCAAAGACCTCTTCAAGGTCTCGGGCCTCTTTGGACTTGACAATCATGTCATCGACATATGCTTCCATGGTTCGCCCCAGGACGGCTTTGAACACTTGAGAAACCATCCGGGTATATGTTGCCCCAGAATTTCTCAGTCCAAAGGCCATCACCAAGTAACAGTACAGCCCCTCCGGGGTCATGAAACTCATCTTTTCAGCATCAGCCGGATGCATCCGAATCTGATGGTAGCCGCTGAAGGCGTCCATGAAGCTCATTAACTCTGATCTGGCAGTCTCATCCACCATCTGGTCAATGTTGGGGAGAGGGAACGGATCCATAGGGCATGCCTTGTTCAAATCCGTGTAGTCGACGCACATCCTCCACGAAGGAGGCTTAGGCACCAGAACTACGTTTGCCAACCAATCCGGGAATTGCACCTCCCAGATGTGACCAATGCTCTGCAAGGTTGCTACCTCCTTCTTCACGAAATCTCTCCTTTCCTGCGACAAATGCCTTCGCTTCTGCTTCACCGGTTTAGCATCTCGCAGGACATTAAGGCGATGAACTGCAATCTTGTGATCTAGCCCTGGCATATCAGCTAGACTCCATGCAAAGACCTTCCTGAACCTTCTAAGGACTGAGATCACTCGTGATCTGAGTTCAGCCCCCAGGCCCTTGCCAATTCTGACTAACCTCCCCGGCGTGCCCGGCTCCAGTTCAACTTCCTCAATGTCGCCGGCAACTTCTACTCTGGGACGTCTCTCCTCGGCCCGTAAGAGCTGTGCAGTCACCTCTCCCACTTGGGTGTCGTACTTGATAGGCTATTTGGTTGCCTTCAAATACCACGCCCGGGACACTCTCTGGGATCCCCTGGCGATTCCAACTCCATGGGGGGTCGGGAATTTTATGCATAGGTGACGAGGTGAGATGACACATTCTAAATCCTCCAATCCGGGTCGGCCCAAAATGATGTTGGTATTGGAGATTATCCCCACTACGACGAACTCCATGTCCAACTTCCGGGTGGCCTTAGTATCCCCTATCTCGACCGGAAGGGTTATTACCCCCTCCGGCTCAATAGAGTCACCCGTGAACCCGGTCAACAGAGTGTTAATGGGTGATAATTCATCCCTTGTCAAACCAAGAGCCTTGTACGTATCCATATACATGATTTTAACAGAACTTTCCGTATCCACCAGAGTTTTGTGGATCAGTAAGTCCATTATATCAATTGTAATCACCAAGGCGTCCCTTTGACCATTGGCAAATCAGCATTGGAAAATATTATCGGCTCAGTTTTTAGCTTCTTACCTTCTGGGACCAGCACCTTATTGACCATCGCCGCGTTGGCCCACTTCTTCCGGCTTGTGGCTGAGTCTCCGCCAGTATTCCCTCCGATGATGAAGTTACACTCGTGGTGTCTCTTCTGGCGGTGCGGTGCGAGCTCTGAATCCTCCTCTTCATCTTCAAGCCCGATGTGGCGTTTTTCCCGGGCCTCAACCTGGGCCACCTCCTTATCTCTACGCTTCCCATTCTGAGCATTCCAGGGATTTCCCGCATCACCATCTTGTACGAACTTCTTCAGATGGCCCCGGCAGATTAGCCTCGCCATCTCATTCTTCAAAGTATAGCAATCCTCTGTGTTGTGATCGTTCTTGCGATTGTAAGCACACCATTTTCCAGTGTCCTCCACATTGCAGACCTTCTGAGAATAGGTTGGATAAGTCATGAGTCCCTGCTGTGCAGCGTGGGCCATGACCTCCGGCAACGTGAAGACTGGATTGGCGGATTTGTGCTTCTCCGAGGTCCCAGGGCTTGTGCCCTTTGGGCCATCCGGGAAACCCTGCTTCTTGTTCTTGAACGGCTTCTTATTTCCAGCCTTCTCTTCTTCTTTAGTAGTCTTCTCTTTCTTCTCCTCCTTTCTCTCCTCTAGGGTCACGTACCTCCCGGCCCGGACCATTGCTTCTTCGAAGGTATCCGGGGGATGAGTTGTAAGATCGGTATGAAGGAGACCATCTACCTCCCTGGACTCTTTTCTCCACCGGATAAGGAAATTCTTCAAGGATTCTCCGTGCTTCTGCCGCACCGAAACCAGATGAGTGAAATGCTTCTTGGGACGGCAGTTCCCCGCAAAATGCTCTAAGAACCGCAATCCCAATTCATCCCATGTCCGGATCGACCCGGCAGGATTGTGGTTGACCCAATCCGCAACCTTGCTATCAAGTGTCTGCACGAAGCACCGGAACATCAGTGCGTCGCTGGCATCAACGGCAATCATCACCTGGACGTAGCTGTTTATGTGTTCCTGGGGATCCGACTCCCCATCATAACGCTTAACGAACGGCATCTTCAATCCCTGCGGATATGGTTCCGCAAAGATCTCCGGGGCTAAGGGAGTATTCGTCCAGGTAGTGAATACTCGTCCCCTGTTTATCTTCCTCTGCATCTCCTGGATCTGTTGCCTCAGATCCTGGAATTCGCCCGCTTCCGGTACCGGCGGCCCCAGACGCTGTGGTGAGACGCTGTGGTGCTGGGACCTGACTTGGCTCTGAACTTCGTCCTCGTCCAGAACCACCAATGACCGTACCGGCGCTTGGCTCCCACCGCGGCCAATTCGCTGCCAGGGTTCGCGGTTAGAAGATGCCACCTGGCTTGGGGTCGTATCCAACCCTGGGGTGCTTTGTCCGGATTCTTCCCCAGCCTCTCACTAACATGAGCTTTCTGGCGAGATATCCTTTCAAAGACAGTTCCCCGCGGGTTTTCGTTTCCATTGCCAATGACTTGGCTTGCGGCCCTGGCTTAGTCTCCATTCACCTTACTATTCCGGGCCAACTCCTCCGCCCGACGTCTAGCGGCGGCCTGTCTCTCCCTCTCGACCTCCTCCGAATCATGAAGCTCCTGGAGGATGGGAGAACTCGCAGTACTGGCGGGGTTGCCCGGCAGGGACATCCCGGGTACCAGATGGACCAGGGAGAGCCTTATCCAACCGTTCCATAATGTTGGCCATCATGTTAGCCACATTATTCAACGCCGTTTCCAACCCATTGACAGGAACGATCATACCCTGTTCAGGGTTGTCACTCCTCACCGTCGACTGGGCGGAAGCAGCGGTGTTACGTCTCGTCCTTCGTCCGACCATAATCTCACAGCTTTATCTCACAGTTTTCTCTCAATGAAAGCACCAATGATGGGATTAACCCGATCAGATGGCGGACCAAGAACGTTATATGGATCAGAAAGATATAATCACTCAATAATATTCTTTGATTAAGTGTAGAATTACTTGATGTCCCTTACAATGGTGGGTTCTTTCCCCTTTTATAGTACTTCTAATATTGTAATTAAAATTATACAAAATGGGAGGGATTATGGAGATCATGGGGTTGTGTTTCTCTCTTTTCCGGTCTCGTTCTCTTCCCATCTCGTCCACAATCTGGTGGTGTGGGCCACGTGTCATGTTCCTCCTTTGGACTAGGTCACCATGATTTAGCCTATGATTGGGCCGTCCTTTTCCCATTCGCCATGCGTGTAGTAGCGGGCTCGGCCCGTTACCCCCACCTGGCCTTATCCATCTCGCGCTATTATGGGCCTTTATTGGGCCTGGAGTCGGGTCCATCAAACCCGATATCCATCAAAATGCTATATCCAAGAGACCCCCCACTCAAGCAATACAAAAAGCGCAGAGCAACAGTAAGCAAAAAGACTCTATGCATAGAAACACACAATGGCAAGCAAAGGCTACCTGAAACGACTATCCAACTATGTTGGTCCAAGACTTCCAGACGCATCTATCTATAGCCATATCCTTGGTAAGGGCAAGAAGTCCTAGATTACTATATCCTGCCTAATCACCTCCTTGACCTCTTCGAACACTTCCTAGATCTACCGCTTCCCCCACCCCACCCACTACTATAAGCCCCTCGCATCTCCGCACTAGAGCCTCAACGCTACGCCGCATCATGTGAACAAACCGTCTCAAATAATATTATTATTGAAAAATGGCATATTGTGTCATATTGCGCTGCCAAAATAACCTTAGATATTCCACAAATTGCATATGTCAGCCTATTATATTTCTTCTACACCTCGGCCTCCATTTGACAACGCTACATACACAGAGGACGCCAATGTCCAAGTCATTAAAAGAGACAAGCATGATCATCTATTTGAAGTCAAAATCTGGATGGATGTTTCTTCCTTGTGCAACCATGGAAGCATACTACATCCAGACATAGGGAGGACGTATGCCATGGTTCTCTTCTTTCCATGTCGGTGGTGAAGTGGTTCAGTGTAAGCAAAAAAACATCATGCCAAGTAAGGAAGCTACCTTATGAATGATGCTAACCTTACTAACCTATTATTGGCCTTGATTTCAATACTTTGAAAAAATACAATGGTCTATTTACATGGATAAACCTTTTTAGTTTTGACGTCTACGGGTGTTAGAATATACTAACAAGTAACATTTTTGCAAGAGGTCCTTGACCCTGGTTTGCAGAAAAAAATACTAAGAAAAGTACCATATGAGATATGATGCACCAGAAATAAGACAGATTTATGTACAAATTTCACATTAACCATCTATTACTGTTCGTCGACTTTCCTTGCTCAGTTCCATATCATCCTTTCTCAACAAATGATTCAAAGCAAATTTACACATTGTTTCAAAAGCATCAAAATTACCCACTTTCTTTTCATAGCTAGGATAAGCAGATTCCGCACTTTGAATTTTGGATTATGGCACATTCTTAGTTCATCCTAGTTATAGAAATATAGACTGAATTTGATGATACCTGAAGGGAGGAGCCAATTTCATCACGACTCAACCTTAGGACCTGAAAATTTCAAAATTCAAGCTGGAATCAAAATCAATCGTGCGAGAGAATCTCGAATCTAAGTGAGAGAGAGAGAGAGAGAGAGAGAGAGAGAACCATGGAGGGCAGGGGGGCGTTGGTCCTTGCCCCAGCCGACGCCACGGGTGGCGTCGAGGTACTGGTGGACGAGGTGGCGGCACTTCTGGAGGTGGTTGACGCCCTCGATCCGGTAGCACCAGCGCACCTTCTCGCGGAGGATCTTGGCCTTCTCGATGTCGACCCACTTCTCCCGCACCAGATGCTCCCTCATCTCCAGCATCGCAACCGGGTCCTTATACGGGTTCTCCGGGTCGAAGTCGTCCGGAGCTCCCTCATCGAACACCACCCCATTTTTCCTTCCCATTCTCTCTCTGGGGGTGTAGAATTTACAGCAATGGAAGTGTGTGATGTGGCCTAGAATGGAAGGGAAATGGTCACTCAAAAAGGAAATTGGATTTTAATGGCAAATGGGTGGTAATGAGGATAGGATGCACCTGGTATTTATAAAGTTAAATAAGAGTTAAAATATATTTACATTATCTTCACATTATAAAAGTGCGAACTCCTATTTCGAAAATAAAAATATAAAAGTCCTATTTTAGTATTTTTTTCTATGTTTTAGCCTTATTCAGGGTAATTTTTATATTTATAGAGATTCTTAGAGCATGTTCTTTAGGACTTAAACTCTTGGCTTCCAATTTTTTTCCAGTATTTTCAAGTTCCTTCCAACTATCCTCATTTTTTTCAAACTCTTTCTAATCATCAACCAATTACTCTAAAACAATATATTTTTAATGTGCTTATTATTATTACAACTATCATGTTCATAACTATGACTTATAAATTATTTTTTTCATCTCATTATTTTAACTATTCACACCCATTATTATTATTTTTTAAATTTTAAATATGAATAAGACAATTTTTTTGTATATATTAATATACACGATAAAATAAGAAAATATCAATATTTTAGACTATATTAAAAAATTATGGATAAAATAGTTACATAGAATATTTTATTAATCTAACTTTATATAAGACCCCCCACCTTTTCCTTTATCACTCAATTATTTCTCATTTTTATTTATTTCAAAATTTAATTTTGTTTTTTATTTTTCTTATTTTTATAAAAAAATTGAAAATCAAAATAGTTTAGAGAAAAAGACTAAAACAAGAAGAAAACATAAAAAATGCACAAAAATAAAAAATCTATCTTTATTCCAAAAATAGGAGTTACAATGAAAATAAAATGACAATCAAGAAACCAAAAATAAGTTTGATTACATTATGTGACATGTCTGATATTTAAAACAAAATGTTATAATATATAAAGTATAATCATAAATTAGTAATTTTATAATAAATACTGCTTAAATAAATTGAGGTACAATGTAATAACAACAACTTTTTAAAATTTAACATTTTGATATTTATGCTAACCTTATATTATAATCTTTTTTGTTGCAAAAGTAGTTTTTTATGTATGAAAAATAACAATTTTTTTATCTTAAAAGTATTCATTAAGATAACGTGATGATGGTGATGATGTTGATGATGATGATAATAATAATAATAATTTATAACAACAAGAATTAGAATTAGAATAATATAAAAATAGACTAAAATAAATTTTTTTAAAGTTTTTTTAGGTTTCCCAAATCTTTTGAAGTTTTTCCAGTTTCTTTCAATTCATCCAGTTTCTTCTAGTTTTTCGAGTTTCCTCTAGTTCCTTCCAGTTTCTTCCAACGTCCATCTCTTTTTTTCAGTCCTAAAGAACAAGCTCTTAGTATAGTTTCCTTCCAACGTAGTTATCAAAAATTGAACTCAAGTCTACTCCCTGACCTCTTTTTTTAATGATTAGACAAGGTATCTGGTTCTAAAATAAAAGGCATGGAGTATAGATTATTTTACCCTAATGTTCTTTTGATCTTGGAAATCAATCAAACCATCAATTTTAGCAATAGAGCACTGTAGATGGCTCGATCATAATATAATTTTGGGTTCATGGGTCAAAAGAATCTTGCGCTTTATTTTATTACTAAGCCTGATGTGTTTTGAAATTTTCAAGTTGAACTTTGAGAGAATGCCAGCTTTCATACTTCTTCATCTAATTATTCTTAGCTTCAAATTCTCCTGAAATGTGACTGCCATTTCACCTTTAGTTTTCATGTTTGTGCAAGTCAGGGGATGCAAAACAATGCCTAACACTTCACCTCATTGTTTTATACCCGAAGTTGAATTCGACAAAGTAATAGGTGCAAGAATATTTCAGGATGATGATCATCACTCCTCTTTGGAGGTATCAATTACTTGGCCAACGATAGGCTCCTTTTAGGTTTGCACTCAACGACGAATTGAAAATCAACCAAGACTTATCCCTTGATGAAAGACACTACCTTAAATTCAATCTAAAAAGCTCACAAGGGCAATGCAGACTTGTGTTGAAATTTTTTATTTAATAACGTGAGAATTTTGGACATAATTATCTGTGCAGAAAATTGCTCTCGGGTACCCTCTATTTTGTAATAAGAACTGGCAGGTCCCATCACTTTCTAAAATATACCTCACGGTCCCTTAAAATATCCCATAATTGATTTAGGGGAGACCTTGCGTCAAAACAACCGTGAAAGCCAAGGAATTGTCTCATTTACCTCTGCTTTTCCCAATAAAGATAGAATCCTTATCTTCTTACCTTATTCTTCCCCAAAATAACAAAACTTTCTCTTTTCACTTTGGCCTTCTTTATTCTTCCCCAAAATAAAGAAACTTTCTCTTTTCTCTTTGACCTTCTCTTCTTCTCGTCAATTTCTCTGGTCCATGTAAGGTCTTCAATTGTCTTCCATTAGCATTTCTAATGGTACGTTTTCAGTTTATACCATTCATGTTCTCCATCTATTTATCGTTTGATTATACCAAAAAACCTCATATATTTTAGCATATGTGTGTTCAATTTTACCCAAGAGGTGTTTGATTGTTTAATGTTCTCTTTTGTTATGATTATTGGGTGTATAATTTTCAAAAAATTGCTCCCGGTTTTTTATAAATTCCGCTCTTGATTTTTTTACTTTAGGATCCTACGGGTTTTAGAGTATATGTGAGTCTTCCTAGATTTATAGACTTTAGATATCATAATCCATGCAAAGAAATTCAAAGGAAGCCACTAGTTTTTTTTATCTAGATTGGATTTAGATGGTTGCTGAATGGAGGGATTCTTCTACTTACATTCCCTTATTTTTAATTGATTCGGAAGAGCCTAGTGCACTTCAAAAAAAATGGCAGAGGGTCTCGATCCCAATACCCAAAATTCTAAGGAGACCTCTATGAGTGAAGTTGAGCAATGGATTGATAATTTGCTTGTAACTCTAACAGAATGTTATAAGATTCCTCAAAGTCAACCTGGTACCAAGTTAATTGTGAGAAGAAAAAACAAGAGTATGACAAATTAAGTGTAGCCCCATATGTCCATGGATCTAACATCAATGCACAACCCGATAGCCACATTTTAAAGGAGGTTGAGAATCATAAGACACCTAATAAGAAAAAGAAGGTTGAGGGGGGAGGAAGAAAACAATTTGAGAGGACTCAATGTGAATCTGTTGTGCAAGGATTTTAAAGGCTCCCACCAATGTTCGTTAGGCTCTAAAAATCTCTGCTTTGAAGGATGCTATGGACAAAGAGTTTTGTGCGTTATAGCAAAACTGTACTTGGGATCTGGTCCCACGTTCAACGCATTCTGTGATTTAATGCAAACGGCTTTTTCATATTAAATGGAAACCGGATGGTTATCTAGATCGCTACAAGGCTAGATTGGTAGCGAAGGATTTTCTGTAGCAATCGGGTCGTGACTACTTTGGGACTTTTAGTCCGGTGACAAAACATGTCACCATTCGTGTCAATCTTACTGTTGCTCTATCTCGCATATGGCCTCTACCTCAGTTGGACATCAATAATGCCTTTTTTAATGGCACCTTGCATGGGGATATTTATATGGAGCAACCCCTCTAGCTATCGTGGTTCTACTCAAGCGGATTATGTTTGTAAGTTGCGCAAAGCGCTCTATGGTCTGAAGCAAGCTCCTCATGCGTGGTATCTTGAACTCACAGGATTTCTCTTACTTCTTTGTTTTTGCAAGTCAGCTGTTGATGCTTCTCTTTTTATTTATCATCGGGGATTTTATGGTGTATGTGGATGATATTATTCTCACAGGGAACAACTCAACCATTATTGATGCTTTTGTGCTCCAGCTCTCTCGACGGTTTGCGCTCAAAGACATTGGTCCTCTCCACCATTTTTGGGGGTTGAGGTTATTCCTGTTTCCGGGGGCATGTTTCTTTCTCAGCGTCAATACATATTGGTCTTTTTAACTCAACACCATATTCTTGCCACAAAGTCAGTCAGTACTCCAATGAGTGCTTTGGCCTTTCTTCATTTGGCTGATGGCACGACCTCGGCAGATGCTACTTTGTATCGGCAAGTGATTGGGTCACTTCAATAACTTGCCATTACTCGTCCGGATCTTGCATTCTCAGTGAATAAGTTGTCCCAATTTATGCATGCTCCTACGGTCACTCATTGCCAGGCTGCAAAACGTATTCTTCGTTATTTACAGGGTACGCTCAATCATGGTTTGTACCTTCATGTTGATGTTTTTTTCTCGCTCACTATTTTTCACTCTGATTGGGGTGGTGTTTATGATGGTGTCTGTTCAACCACTGCTTATGTATTCTACCTCGGTCCCAATGCAATTTCTTGGAAATCCATTTGTTAAAAGCCTGTTTCTTGCTCTTCTACTGAAGCTGAGTATCGAGCTCTTGCACATGCTACTATTGAGACTCTATGGACACGTAATTTACTTCATGACCTTGGTATCCCGATTCGTAAGTCACCAAACTTATACTGTGACAATCTTGGTGCGACGTATATTTCCAAGAATCCAGTATTTCACTTCCACATATCAATGAAGCATCTTGCGTTTGACTATTTTTCTTGTTCGGGAGCTTGTTGCCTCTAGTTCTCTACGTGTTCATCACATTGCTTCGGGTGATCAGACTGCTGATTTGCTTACGAAGCCTCTTCCTACGTCTAGCTTTCACCGATTACGTTTCAAGCTTGGCATTTCTGACGGCACCTCCATCTTGCGGGGGCATATTAAGCATCATAATTTCACCACATTATTATATTAATCTGTTCCGTGTATATCTAGTAGAGTTGTACATTTCCCAACTACCTTTAGATAAAGATGCCATATATGATAAAGTGTGTTAGTTGTTACCTATTCCTTTGGCATTATTGGTCGATCACAAGTTGTGATACATGCCTAGTGTGTGTGCATGTATTTGCATCATAGTGATTGAGAATGATATGCAATTTTATATCCTTTACATACTATGACTTAAGTTAGTACTTTAGCAATAATGAAATTCTAATAAACAAAAATAAACATTGTAAAAAATCTCATGAACAAAAACAATAAAAGATCGTATCCATTTACCAAAATGAAAGGAAAATAGAAAAAAATTTATTACAAAAAGTAAAAATACAGTAAAAAAAATAATATTTCCTATGTAGAATAAAAATTATGAATAAATTTTCTATAAGACGGGTGGAGAATATATTTTATTTAAAGTTTATTTAAAAAATAAAAAACATTAGTGTGACAATGTTTAGTAAATGTAACACATTAGAAGTTAATTGTAGAAAATTTTTATGCAAATGAATACTTTAAATTCATGCATTTGAATTCTAAAATTTGAAATATTGAATTTCAAATGATAAGGGGAATGACATGGATTTCAAATTAAGTTTTGTTATGAATAAGAGAAATTTGACTCAAATTAAATCCAAAATTTTTTAGTTTTCTAAACATAGAATTTGAGTCAAATCTGGATTTGAAATCAAAATGTCTTTTTAACTTATAAGCTGCTTAAAGTCAAATATTCTTTCGTGGAAGTAAAATACTTGAATGATATATAAGTCATTTATAAATATTAATAAATGGTGAGAATCTTTTTTGTAAATAACCTAATCAAAATGTAGTAATGAAATAACTAACTTAAAAATAAGTAATTAAAAAGTGCATATTTTTTAACTTATAAGAGCATCTCCAAAGGGGCTTGGTATATGTGGCTTGCTATTGCTTTTTTTTAGCTAATGAATAGTGGTATAACAAGTCACTTTTTGCTCCCTTCTCCAACCATGACTTGTTATATTACGTATTACGCTCCCTCCTTCCAATAATGTTTTACTCATTTTTGATCAACGTGCAAAACTCTATGATTTTAAACTGATTTTATTTATAAATTGTTAAATAAAATACAAAATAAAAAATTATATTTAAAAAACTACATCAAAAAATTTATAAAACAAGAGATGATAAAAATTTATTTTATCAAATAATCAATGAAAATACACAAACAAATAAGAGTTATCGAGAGGCCGTAATAGTAAATGGGTAATTCTTTTTTGGACGGAGGGAGTAACTAACAAATATATTTTGTTCCAATAACCATTATAATACACCAAATACAATAATTCTTGAATTGTATTTATTCCTGTAAACGTAAAAAAAGTAATAACTATGGAGTATGTGTCAAAGAACCGATTCAACCAAAAGTTCAAACTTGTGGTTATGTCTAGAAAAAGTTATTTATATTCTAATAGTATGTAATTAAAAAATATAAAATAAAATATTTCTATTTAAAATAAAATAAACCAAAGAACTCTTCTTACGGTAAAAATCACATTTACATTGAAAAAACAAAAAAATGTTATACGGAGTATTTAATTTGTGCAGTATATATCATTGTAAAAGAAATTTACCTTAATTTTTGTTTAGGTATATTCTAGCATGCTTGTTATAAATAGCAAGGTGTTTTCATTTTTTAGCAAACTAGTCAAATTTTGAATAACCCTTTGGAGCACAAAATTTTGTATATGCTTGTCAAATTATAACATATAGCAAGTCATTTTGCTATGGTTGGAGATGCTCTAAGCAACTTATAAGTTAGTTAATAAACACACACAAACATATCATCTCACTGCAGTTAAAAATAGTTTTGACTTTTGACCACATAAAACACCCACATAAAACACTCCTCCGCCTCGCAAAACTTGGTTTCTTTGGCTCCCGATCGACGTCGCCGCCATCGTGCTCTCTGGCGCCTTCATCACCGGAATCGTGCTCTCTGGCGCCTTCATCACCGGAGAACGGCGTCATGCTTCAGGTATCGTCTTCCCTCCTCCGATTCCCTTCTAATCTGTATACTCCGCTTCTCTTAGCCTCTCTCTCGTTCCTTCTCCTTGTCTAAGTCTCCCCCTTTCCTCTTCCAATTTCTTGTATAAAATGGTGTTTTCTATCCTTGTATGAATTTGTAACAGTGTCATAAGTTGTTTAATTTTTTTAGAGACTATTGAGATTTCCTCTTGAGCTTTTCAATGCTATTTCGTGGGCTGTTTTGGCTATTTTTATTTCTAGGGTATTTGGTTATTGTGTGATTAATTGAATTAAGTGTGGGTTATTTGTAATTGGCATGCAGTTCAGCTTCAATTAACAATAATTCTGAACTTGATGGTGATGGAAAGTTACCATTGTGGAAATACTTCAAAGTATTAGGATAATTGATATATGTTGTGAATATTTCGAACGTAAATACATGTATCTTACAATGAAATGAATAATACTCCCCAAATAAAATATGTATGAACAAATTTGCCGCACCCGCACCCTATCTTTTTTTGAAAATTTATGCACCCGCACACCGGCCGTGCACCCGCACCCACACCTGTGCTTCATAGGTTTTGATGATGTAAATTACTTGACCGGTCAAACTATACTAGACCGGGTTTAGAATAGTTGGCTTGATTCAGTAAAGTAAAGAAGGTAAAAACACTCAGAATGACCGGTAGGACTTTAGGTGGAACACCTGTAGCCCGAATTGTATTAAAACAGAGAATGCACGGTCACTTTTACAAGGGAGTTTAGAGAGAGTGAATTCGGATCCCCTTCTTTGAGGGTTACAACAGGTATATATACTAGGCTTGGGGGGACAGGACCACGTGCGCCCACGTGGGGGCACGCTGCTGATGTGGTGCGAGGTGACTCGTTTTGTCCTTGAGCTGCCCTGTCGCCTTGTGAGGGGAATCACTCCCCTTGTCGCGTTCTGGTTTGGAAATGTTCCTTCAGCATCTCTGCAATGCCAACCACTCCAGTCCAAGTCCTTTTTTGGACTCTCCCTGCCGACACTTTCCAATCTCCAAAAGCTGTACCGGTTGGTTCTCGAGGGTTGGTTTGGCCAACTTCGAATGATGAATTCAGGTAATGATGGTGTTTGACCGGTATACTTATCCAAAGTATACCGGTCACATTTTTGGCCAACCAGCTATCCCTTCGCAGACGATCTAGATCTCTCTTCCAGGCTTTCCCTCTTTGACCGGTCAACTATCCGGTTCTGACCTTTGACCGGTCATGGGTGAAATACACCCATCAGGTTTAATTAGAGAACAAGGGTTAGAAAAGAAGCATTTTCCCCCTTGATTTAACACAACCAAATTGGTAATTTGCACTCACAGAGTACATTGATTGCTAAGGGATGGATATGTAGGTGCCAAACAGGCTTATTATTGGTATTTACTAGCTAGACTTCATCAAATAATTACTCCGTATGTTATGTAGGCTCGTTGGTTGGTCTATACTTTGATTTTGAATTTTTGGTTAATGCTTTTATATTTTATAATGCTCCCTTTTAGATTAAATATTTTGGCGAATATCAAATGATGGCACTAAAAAACAAGGTATACATTTCAAATTTTCACTTGTATCTTAGCCCTTAGGGTTGTAGAATTTTAATCTGCAATGTTTGAAGCATTTGTAGATTTTGAAACTCACTTGTAATTTTTTAATTTTCTTGTTGGTCATTTTATTCAGTTATATATCCAATAATTTAAGATATATCATGTTATTTTTTTTGGTCTTCATTTGAATTATTTGCTCTAGCCCATGACATTTTCATTTCCAAGATTCGTAATAATAAAATGTGGTCTCAGAGCTAGTGCTCAAGTTGACAATTTAATTATATTTTAAAGAACATGCTTGTGTGGTGGACATGTTATGTGAGGTTTTGTGTTAATCATTAGTATTTCATTTTCTATAAAAGAAAATAAATTAAAATAATTGTTATTACAATGTAGCTTCTATAAGTGATTTACCATTGTAGTTGCCTGTGTGGGTTGAGACACTATATCTATTTGCTATCGAGTTGTCCTCCCTCATTACTTGCATTGCTTCTGTTGCCTACGTTCTAGACAGGCACGTCTTTTAATTCTCAAGTGTTAAGTTTTTTTTCTCATTCTATCATTTGAATGATGGGGCAAACTTATTTGGCCTGGCACGATAGACTCTTCAATATAATAGGAAGAAAGCTATCTATAACTTCTTCTTTTTCCAACATCTCTACTTAAACAGTTTTAAATTTGTTAAAATGAATGACGTAAATCAAGCTTTGGGCTTAATTGAATTGAAAATCAGCATTCGTATAATGCAACTATGACTTCTTATATGAAATTTTCATTTTATTTAAAGGGGGCATGCCCAACAACCTCAATAGGTTTTGTTGGGAAATGAGAACAATAAAGCATTTATGCTCTTCATATTTGATGGTGATTTTCATCCCATCGATAAATATACTAAACCATGTATTTTTGTCATCATGTTCTTTCAAAAAAATTATTATTTCTACGAGGGTTAGTATTCTTATCTTGTTGTAGCTTGTAATCATGTGTATTACCTGCCTTTTTGTTTCTATGTAGTTAGTAGCTGAAAATGTGTCATAAAGGTTAAATGTAAAAAAAAAAAGCCCAAGACTATAAATATTATAAGGGAAAATTCATTTTCAAACGCACGAGTTATTCAATCTCAAACAACTCTGTCTATAAATCAGTATTTTTGGGTAAGGTAGCCATTGAGATCATTATTGGGAGTGGTTTGACCCTTAACACTTACCACTATATTTACATATATGTAAGATTTTTGGGTTAAAAATTTGTTAAACTTAAATTGGGATGAAGGGTGGTATTTACATTTTGTAATTTTCGATGAACTGGGCCAGACCCGGAGACGTAGGCTACGAGGCTGATGGTCTTCTTCTTCTTCCTTGCAGCATTAGGGCATCACATTTGGGAAAGCTGCTGTCTTCCTTCATCGACGACTCAACGTGATGAGGACAATATCAGGTGGAGTACTTTCAATGGCGCCGGTTTCACTCTCCGATGCCGCCGCAATCATCGCGGACTTCGCCGCCTCGGATACCGGAGCTTCCGATGCAGTCTCGGTGTACATCTCACGCGCCGCCGACGCGTTCAATCACCTGGTTCAGTTTCACAACCGTTGCTCGCAAGGCCATGTACTCCAGCTGAAAAGCTTGAGGAATGCAGACATTGTTAAGAAGGAAGAAGGAGATGAAGAAGAGCCCCAGAAGATTCCAGAAGGGAATCACAAGAATGGAAAACACAAGAAGAAGCGAGATTCAGATTCCAGAAACAGAAATCTGATTAAAACTGAGATGAACTCTGTTAAGGTTGAGCAGCGCGGTGAAGAGATGAAGAATCACAGTGCAGAGAAGGTTAAAATCAAAGAAGTTTCATGTGCTGGTAAATACCATGAAAATAACACTGAGAAGAAGGTGAAACCTGAAAGGTCCCCAGCCAATAGTGTGAAGAAGGAAAATAAACAGAAGAGTTTTTCTGAGGCTTTGGTGGCTGAGACGAAGAAGAATCATAAGAAGTCTGGTGAAGGCAATGGAGGCTCAGAAGGGGACACTTTTTCTGTTGAGACGAAGAAGAGGAAAGGTGAAGAAGTTGAAGGGGATCTACACAGCAGTAAGAGGAGGAAGAGTAAAAAAGGATAGAGTGGGAGGAAAACAGTTTGGATAAATGGGCGTTTCCCGTTCCCAAACCCAACCCATTTCGGGCTGAAGGTTTGGGTTATCTATTACAAGAAAAGGTTAGACTTTTAGAATTGCAAGTTTTGTTTCTTGTAAGCTTCTGAGTGAATGGTTATTATTATTATAGCTCACATTATTCTTATAGTGATCTAATTGAAATTCTTGCATTTCTTGGATGTTGGAATTTGAGTGGTTTCCTTTGAATGATTGTTGCCCCATTTTGGGAACAATTTGCAGAAAACATTGAAGTATTCTAAAGCTAGTGGCCCTCACTTCTCAAGTAGATGATGATATTTAACATGGGAAAGTTGAAAGCCTTGTTAAGGAGGAGTTACAAGTAGTAGTTTGCTCGTTGTAAAAGAGAATTAAAAGATCTTGGTATGGTATAGGTTCTTTAAAAACGCGGAACCGTGACGGACCGTGCCTACCCCTAAGAAAACACTCGAAGGAACTTCAAACATCTATTTAGTGTATTTTTTATATTATTCTTACTGTTATTATTATTACTACTATTATTATAGGCAAAGAAAGTGACAAAGGGTGTAGTATGATTATTACTCCGTATTTTTCAATTTAAAATGTTAATGTTTTTCCCTTGGTCAATTTACATTTAAAAAATATGTATAATTTTTATAACATTGTTTAATATCATGCAAATTAATAATGACCAATTTTCCCAATAAAATTGCATTATTTATATTCAAAAATAGAAGAAAAAATAATAATGAATGTGAAAACAAAAAATTAATATGGGAAAAAAATGCTAAACGAATTAAGGTATTGCCAAAAAAGGCCTGAAGTTTTTTCTCGAATAGGTTTCCACGTTAAAACTCTCGTGTTTGTATTTTGGTGTATTTTGTTAGACTAGTTTATTGTTCTTGCCCGACTAAAAATGATATACCAGTCGAGATAATTTACATAATCTGGTAAGACCCGAGTTGCAGTTGTGCAGTTTATAGTAAGCCGGTGGGCGTTGTGCAGTTGGTAAGACCCGAGTTCGAATCTTGGCAACTGCTCTGGGAGGTAACTATGCTAAGAATAGGGCCTCTGCAAGTATCAGATGCAGGTTCCACTCTTTGCCACCAATCTGCGATTAGAGACTAATTTACCTCCTTTTAGTGACCGTCTGACTAGGTCTGAGAGGGCCCTTGCTCATCCTTTTTTCCCAAACGAAAAGGACAATGAAAAGAGGTAAGAGAACTTTAAAAAGGTATGGTCCGGGACGTGGAGTATTGAATACTCCTTCACTAATAATTCTAGTGGATCCCTCAAAAATGGAGAAATATGTAAGTGGGTCTTGATTGAAGGCCTAGCAACTACACTTCACAAGACTTCATTAAACCTTTTATATAAGACACTCAAAAGGTGTCCCCACATGACGTGACGATACTTGCATTAGTTAGCCGGGCTAACATCGATCTTCGACAGAGCTGCAGCAGCTAGCGTACTTAATTCCTTTAAGTAACATCGATCTCTTCGATATACTAATTTCACTACGCGTCGCTTACTTAATTCGTATTAACATCGGTCTCAGTGTTATAACAACGTTTGAGGCATCGTTGCTTTGTTGTACATCTCGTATAACTTTTTGAAGCATTGTTGCTTCATGGAACTAACATCGCTCTCGTTACGATAGTTATCCACACGTATTGTATTCGGCCTAACACCGAGCGTCTCAGTAAAGATAATTTTTATATTTGAGCACGACGCCGGTCAAAAAAATGTTGTATGTATTATTTTTGCAGGGAAAAACATTTGATTTAAAATAATGTTGATGAAGAACTTAGAGGACTAGCAATATCAACCGATCAAGAATGCTCATATGAAGACTGAGGATAGCACTCGGAAGACTTATTTACTTTGTTAAGTTGACGATTCTCACAACTTAAAAAAGTAGAGAACTTCTTGATCAGAAATAATACGTGGCTCGACCCACATTTCCCAATTATTTATGAAGAACAATTAAACCGGTCTATTTAGTAAAATGGAGAAATAAAAGAATATTTCTTCAAAAGATGCTCAAGTTTTGCCTATTAAAGGAGAACAATCCTCACAAGTGAGTAGAGGCCATTTTTCTCCCTTACTGTAATACCCTGTATTAAGATATGGGAATATGAAGAGCTCAAAAGGATTGATAGTGCTACTCATACCAATAAGGTGCATCTCCTTTTCGAGAGCTAATCGCCTAGAAACTACTCCAAAGCTATGCGTGCTTGACCTGGAGCAATTTTAGGATAGGTGACCCCTTGGGAAGTTACTTGGGCGCGCACGAGTGATGACAAAGTACGCGGGAAAGACTTGTGTTGGTTTGCGGGGCCAGTCTACAATCCTATGAGCAGACACTTACGGCCAGGGTGGGGCCGGGGTGTTACAAGTGGTATCAGAGCAACCCTGCGACCGTGACAGGCCAAAAGAGCTTAGTTCACCTAACGGGGAAGATCTAGGGATTTGAAAAAAGAAAGGATGCAACGAGGACGTTGCATTCTTAAGTGGGGGTGAATGTAATACCCTGTATTAAGATAGCGGAATGTGAGGTGTAACGCCCTGAAACCCGACCTATCAGAATTAATTAATTAAAATAGTTAATTAATTACTGAGACGGACTCGTTGGAAATTATAAATATTCTTTGTTTAGCAATAAGGCTTATACCTTGTGTAAGGTTCGATGGATCGAATCCAACGATGAAATAAGATTTGAATTTGGAGCCTGTGGGCCCGAAAAGTGTGTTTTGGGCTAGGTACGTTAAGTTAATACGGAGCCCAAAACCCCAAAAGTATAGATATAGGCTTTACACGCCTAAACCCTCACGCCTCCATACTATTATTTACGTAACTCCCTCCCCTCTCTCGTGTCTCTCTCGCCGACGAAACAGAGCAGGAGGAACGAAGGACAGCAGCGGCACAAGAATAAAAAGAAGAAGAAGAAGAAGAAAAGGAAGAAGGAAAGAGGAAGAGTTCGACGTCGTCGTACCCCGTTCGTTGGTATTATCTCGTAGTTAGTATCGTCAAATTCGAGGTGAGTACGTGGACATCTATCGTATGGTTGTAGTCATAAGTTTGAATCATACGTTTGTAGAATTGTTACGGTTGATCTATTTGGAATATATATGAAGTATGCCTTATTTATGTCGTTTATGATTCGAGAAGCATGATATGACTTAGGATGGTTTAAGAGCTTGTTAGATAATGTTTGATTATTGATTTAGAACATGTTGAAGCCATGTTTTTCTGAAATTGATGTTGTTTGTGTTGGAACACACTTTGCACATTTAACCAAAGTCGTGTTCATTTCTGACAGGTTTTGATAATTGCCAAACCGCCGTGGATATGAAGAGTTTCGTTGAATAACTCAAGGCGTGAAGAATAGCATGGAACAAGACCTAAAAGACTCAAGGACAAGATCAAGAATTGAAGACTTAGTCGAGTCGGTCTTTTGTGATCAAAACCGACAATCAATTCAAGTCTCAGTTCTCAAAGAGTCAAAATAATTTTACAAAATCATAAAATATTTTTGTGCATCAAAATAAACATTTTTGATAAATTTTTTTTGTTAAAATCCCTGGTCCTTGCTCAGAACCAATATCACCTAAGTCGGCGTACGGTGCTCGGCGTTCGGTTTTTTGGCGCCCGAACCAACTCGGTGGTTTTCTATGTTTTTAAACCTTGTTTTGATCTCTGAGCATATTTAAAATGTTCCCAAATAATTATTTCATAAAAACCACTTTTGTATCTTGGTCAATCGGTCTAACACGTGAAAAACGGTCAAAACCGTACGCACGTGATGTACGACCTTGGAGACTTGGTTTTTACCGAACAAGTCTTGTTTTCACTATTTTATACCATATACAATGTTTTTCAAACTTGGTTTTTACTTTTGGGAACACTTCGTTTTTGGACCTCGGTTTTTCAAAACGGGTTTCAGCTGGCTAGACTTTAGCTGGGTGATAATCGATTATCACCTTAGTGACAATCGACTATCAGCCCCTGCAGCGTTGGAACTCCAAAGTTCTGAAGCACGCAATAATCGATTATCACTTATGCAATAATCGATTATCAACCTATGCAGCCAAAACCCAGAAACTTCTGAGAGGACCAATAATCGATTATCACTTGTTGACAATCGATTATCTGGGTTACCGTTGTCCTCCAACGGATAGAATTTTAAACTTTTGGACAGGGAATCTTTTAATAATCGATTATCATGTCTAGACAATCGATTATCACCCTGCAACTCTGAAAAATTTGTCTTCATCCTGTTGGAAA